CCTCGACCGCGCACTTGAGCACCTGAAATCAGAGGCGTAACTTCCCCACTATAACGTTGAAACAGTTGTGGGTGGAAGAAAAAACACGACGTCCGCCTGGGCCCCCGTCGGAGGAACGGACATGCGAGCGCAGTGGCGCGCGCGGGGCCACGCGCGACCCGCCGCTGGTAATAACGTGAATTCACGGGCGTAGCAGCGACGACGACGGCGACGGCGACGACGACGGCGGCGCCAGCGCCGACGGCGACGACGACGGCGGCAACGGCGACGGCGGCTACGATTATCGTCGCGGCGACGGCGGCGTCAGGGCCCGGGCCCGCGGACGAGCTTGCGCCCCGCCCTCGTTCCTGGAACCCCGCGCCAGCTTGTATGGGAGGGGCGAAATGTTTGCGCGCAGTCTTACCCCAGCCATCTCTCCGCTTTATTAAAGCTCCCTGTTTGCTTTAGTCGAACGTCGTTTTTTTCGGAATGTATTAAGCGGCGCGCCTTCCCCAAAGCCGCTTTCTCGCTTGAGTAAAGCCGCTTCCTCGCTTTAGTATAGCCGTTCCTTCGCTTTAGTAAGCCAGTTCTTCGTTTTAGTAAAGGCCGCGATCTGCCTTAGTAAAGCATTGGGGGTGTGGGGCCAGGGCCCAGTCCGAGGGAGGGGGGCTCCTGTCTCCCCTGCCATTTCACCCCGCGGTGCAACTGCTCGAGTGACCAGGGTCGCGTAGCATCGGGTCGCGGCGATCCCTGGACATGTTTTCAGCGAGTTGTATATGCTCCTTGATGGGAAATTCAGGGCGCGAGCGCAGGACGTGTGGCACGGCAATTCGGACGCGCCGCCGCGGCTGTCGCACAACAGAGCAACAGCACTTTACTAAAAGGCTCGTTTCTTGTAGCAAATAGCTCCTTCGAAGTAATAGTGCGACTTTCCCGCTTCCAATGAAAGTCCGTGTCGGGGCTGTCTTGGGCTCTTGTGCGGTATGTTTGGGAGCCCCGCTGGGCTGTCTCGGGGCCTTCGGGCCGTCTTGGAGCTTTCGTGGGCCGTCTTGGGACCCTCCTGGCCGTCTGGAGTGCCTCTTGGGGCCGTCGAGGGCCATCGAAGGGGCTTTCGAAGGCCGTCTCGAATCCTTCGGAGGCCCTGTTGGGCCAGCTTGGGGCTCTCTGAGAACCGTAATGGGCCGTCTAGGGCCCTTTTTGGGCTGTCTTGGTAGGCCGTCACGAGCAGACGGAAGCCCAGAAACGCAGTAAAATAAAATCGACGAAACACCACAAGAGAACCATTGGTGTCTGTTCATCCGGGCCCTCTGGAAGCTGCTTTTGGGGCCCCTTGGAACCGTCTTGCGGCCTCTATGAGCCATCTTCAGGCTGTCGTGGGCCGTCATGACGCTACGTTGGGCCCTTTCGGGGCCACCTGGTTCAGTTTTGTGTGCATCTTGGGCCATATTGGCGGCCTGGGTGGGCTTCCTGGGCCGTCATGGAAGTTTTGGACAGCCCCAAGGGGTTGCCATGGCCGCCCAGGGACCCCCGAAAGTAGGTAGGGGGGGTGCAGGTGACAGCCTGTGTCCCGCGGAGGGGGGGGGCCTTTTACAGAAACCCTGCCAGACCGCACTTGGCATTCTTTCACGCTTCAGCGTGCTGCAGGCACGGAGTCGGATACATACCTGTACCATTTTTCGGGTGAAATGGAGGTTCGGGGGGGCAATTTCATTATCGATCTCAAAATCGATTTCATTTTCGATCCCACTATCGATTTCACAATCGATCTCAATACGGGACACCGACAGGACGCCGACGGCGGGACACCGACGACACATCATTATTTATCCCACGATCGATTTCATTCGACCGATATCACTCGATCGATCTAACTCGATCGATCGCACTATCGATCTCACAACCGATGTCACGATCGATCGCAATATCGCTCCCACCATTGTTTTCACTGCCGATCTCATTTTTCATGTCGATACCGATTTCATGATCGACTGCACTATCGGAAAAGCGCGTGCTGTGGTCGCTTGGAGGAGGGGGGGGAACCGGACCCCCCCCCCTCTGGATGGAGGGGGGGGGTTCGAACGCCCCCCCCTCCCCCATCCCGTGACGGAGGGGGGGTGGAGGGGTTTCGAACCCCCGCCCCCTAGTTTTCTTCTCTCTCTTTCCTCGGGCCGGCGCCAGCGTCGGCGGCGGCTAGCGACGGCGGCGGGGGCGACGACCTCCTTTTCTGGGCCGGCGCTGGCGCTTGCGGCGGCGGGCGGCGGCGGCGGCGAGCGTCGACGAGGACGACGGCGACGACGATGGCGACGACGACGACGCTCCGCCACCGTGCTGCCGTGCCTTGTTGGTTTTGGGTCGGAGTCCTAATGGATGCGTCTTGGGGTCTCGTCGGAGGGCTTCCAGGGGCTTCTGAAAAACACTTGTGAAGCCTCATCGGCGCCTCTTGGGCGCGTCTTGGGGCCTCTCTGACGTGGTGGTGGTTGTGGTGGGCTGTGGTGGTGGTGGTGGTGGTGGTGGTGGTGGTGGTTGTGGTGGTTGTGGCGGCGGTGGTGGTGGTGGTGGTGATGGTGGTGGTGTGGTGGTTGGTGGTGGAGTTGGTGGTAATTGTGGTGGTTGTGGTGGCAGGTTGTGGTGGTTGTGGTGGTGCGATGGTTTCTGGTGGTGGTGGTGATGGTAGTTGTGGTGGTGGTGGTTTAAGGTGGCGGTGTTGGTGGCGGTGGTGGTGTGGTGGTTTGTCGTGGTGGTTGTGGTGGTGGTAGTGGTTGTGGTGGTGGTGGGTTGTGGTGGCGGTGCTGGCGGTGGTGGTGGTTGTGGTGGTGGTGTGTTGTGGTGGTGGTGGTGGTGGTGGTGGTGTGGTGTGGGGTGGTGGTGGTGGGTGGGTGGGTGGGTGGTGGGTGGTGGGTGGTGGTGGGGGTGGTGGTGGTGGTGGTGTGGTGGTGGTTGTGGTGGTGGTGGTGGGTGGGTGGTGGTGGTGATGGTGAGTTGTGGTGGTTGTGGTGGCTTGTGGTGGTGGTGGTGGTGGGTTGTGGTGGTGATGGTGGCGGCGGTGGTGGTTGTAGTGGTGGTGGTGGTGTGGTGGTTTGTGGTGGTGGCGGTTTTGGTGGTGGGTGGTGGTGGTGGTTTGGTGGTGAGTTGTGGTGGTTTGTGGTGGTGGTGGTGACTGTGGTGGTGGTGGTTGTGTGGTGGTTTGGTGGTGGTGGTGATGGTGGGTTGAAGGGGTTTGGTGGTGATGGTAGTGGTGGTGGCGGTCATTCATGGTGGTGGTGGTGTGGTGGTTTGTGGTGGTGGTGGTGGGCTGTGGTGCTGGTGGTGTCGGTGATGCTGCTGGTAGTAGTGCTGGTGGTGGTGGTGGTGGTGGGTGGTGGGTGGTGGTGGTGGTTGGTGATGGTGATGGTTGTTGTGGTGGTGGTGTGGTGGTTTGTGGTGGTGGTGGTGGGTTGTGGTGGTGGTGGTGGTTGTGGTGATGGTGGTGGTCATGGTGTTGTGGTTTGTGGTGGTGATGGTGGCGGTTGTGGTGGGTTGTGGTGGGTTGTTGTGGTGCTGGTGGTGATGGCGTTTGTGGTGGTGATGGTGGTGGTGGTGTAGTGGGTTGTGGTGATAGTGGTGGTGGTGGTTGTGGTGGTTGTGGTGGTGGTGGTGGTGTGGTGGTTCGTGGTGGTTGTGGTGGTGGTTGTGTGGCCTTCGGCTCTTCCCGCCACCGTGTTTTGGCTTTGGGTCGGAGTTCTAATGGATGCCTCTCGAGGTCTCGTCAGAAGGATTTCGGGGGCGTCTGAGGAGCATGTGCAGCCTCGCGGACCTTCCTAAGGACCTCTCGGTGGCTTTTGTGGGGTGAGGGATCGATATGGCGATTTGTGTGTTCCCTCTGCGGCCTCTTGGGCCCTCTCTGGTCATCGTCGCTGCGTCCCCGCCGTCGGCGCTGCTGGCCAGCGCCAGCGCCGGCGACGGCGCGGGGGGGAAGGGTTTAGACCCCCCCCCCCTCCCCCTGGGCCCTCTCTGGTCATCGTCGCTGCGTCCCCGCCGTCGGCGCTGCTGGCGGCCGCCAGCGCCGGCGCCGGCGCGGGCGCCGGGGGGGGGGCAGTTTTGGACCCCCCCCCACCCCCTTGGGAGGATGGGTGGGTTCGGGAAGGGGGGGGTTTATAGGTGGGGAGGGGACCCTGGTTCTGATCAGCGGCGCCGAGCGTCAGGGGAGTAGCCCACCCCCCAGTTCGAAACGCGCCGCCGATTGTTCCCAAGGCAACCGCCCGTGAAACGCGCTCTTCCCATCACTTATCGATATCACTTTCGACATCATGATTGATTTCACGATCCGTTTTACTATCGGTTTCAGTATCGAATTCCTCGTCGATTTCACCATCGATCCCACGATCGATGTTACTATCGATCTCATGATGGGACACCGACGGGCCACCGACGGGACACTGGCTGGACAACTGCCGGATGCTCCTGAGCACAGCTGGGCAAGATGGGGGCGCAGTCTTTTGGCCCGGGGGCGCCTTCACCAGAGGAGGGTTCATTCCTCTCGCCCACCCACGCAGCTTCGCTTCGCGCGCATGCACGACACGAATACGAAACCAAAATCGATTTCCCAATGGGGGGCTCTCCGTTGCACTGCGATCTCACCCCCTCGCCTCCGATCCACTGCCCCCTTGTCGGGCCCTTCTTGGGCCCAGGAGCTGTGCATACGCCTCTCTGGCCACGCCAGGAGCACGTGGCATGTACACCGCTGTTGGGCCCAGGAAGGGCCCGACCAGGGGGTAGTGGATATGCACGGATTTCGTCGCCCTAGTAGGGGTCGGGGCTAGCCCAAACTTCCCCAGGGCTGGACCTGAGCGTTGTTTCTCGTTTTGGTTTCGTGTTGTTGTTCGTTTTGCTCTGCCTGTTTTCCTGTACCGCCCTGCCAGCACGAAAAACAGCACACACACAGCCGAAGTCCACCAAAACAGCGTTTAGGTCCAGCCCTGAAGCTCCCGACCGAACTTCCCGGGCGCGGGGGGCATCAGAGCGCCCCCGCCGCCCCCGTCGAGGCCGCTGCCCGCAGTGCGAGCGCCCCGCGGCGCCTGGGGCGGCCACCTCGCTCGCGGGATGGCCCCTGGAGCGCTGGCAGCCGGTGCGCCGCGGGCGGCCAGGGAGGGAGGGAGGGAGGAGAAGGGAGGAGGGGGGAGGAGGAGGGGGGAGGAGGAGGAGGAGGGGGAGGAGGAGGAGGAGGAGGAGGAGGAGGAGGAGGAGGAGGAGGAGGAGGAGGAGGAGGAGGAGGAGGAGGAGGGAAGCCAGCGTGTTCCCTCGGGGCGGCCCCACCGCTCGACGGGGCGAGTGGGGGGACGCGCAGAGCGCCGCCGCAGGCGAGCCCGCTGCGGGCGCGCTTCGGCAGCAAGACGGCCGCCGTGATCGAGAGGGTGCCCCCGCCTTGATCGCCGCCTGGTGGCGGGGCTCGTGCTTTTGGGGAGGTCGGGTGCGACGTGAGGGTCGGGAGCTCGTGGGTGGCGGGTCGCTCCGCCGGTCTTGGCCCACCGCGCTTCGGCGCCACACGCCGTCCGCTTCCCGGTCCCGAGGCGTCAGCGTCCCGAGCGTTTCCCGACCTTCCGGCCCGCGGAGCGCAGCGACACGCCATCCGCTCGCAGGGCATAGCGTGTCGCCGGGGCCGCTGCGGCGACACGCTATGCAAGAACACCCGACCGCATGGGGGGGGGGGGGGGCCCAGGGGGGGGTGATGCAGCGCCGATGAGGGCCCGATAGCCCACACCGCCCAGGACCCCGCGGTATCGCGATCGAGGGCCCATCGCCAATCTATCGATAACGCATGGCCGATTCCAGCTCGATTCTTCCCCTACTGAGCTGGTCCCTCCCTCACGTTCGGCCGCACGCGAAAAGGGGCAGGGGGAGGGGGGAGGGCTTCTTGCTTCTTAGAACGCGTGGATCTTATCTGTTATTCGGTGTAGGGCTGGCGCCTTCTAAGAAGCAGCCTCTTTCCAAGAAGCCTGCCCTCCTCCCCCTACCCCCTTGTACGCCCCCCCTCAGAATCCCCATCAGGAGAGTGCCCGCTCAGGAGCAGCAGCGGAGGTGCTCTCTGGCAGCAGCACCTTGTCGAGGACCCCTTTTTCGCCGGAGAGCCGGAAACGGCACATAGCGCAAACTTCTGGGACGTCCGCGCAGATTTCTTGGGTCGGCGCTGGGACCCCCCTTGGCGGCGCCTCCAGCGCAGCCCCTTGCGCGCTCCGCGCTGCAGTGAAGCGGGGTTCAGCGCCGACCCAAGATATCCGCGGACCTCTCCAAGAGTTTTTGTCTCTGTGTCGGCGGCGAGCGAGGGCGGGAAGTGAGAAGGGGCGGGCCTTCTCAGAAGGCTCCGAAGTCCCCCAGCCTTCTGAGAAGTGTCCTGAGCTTTTCCTGGAGAGACAGAAAACGGATCAGAAGGCGCGAGGGCTTCTGAGAAGTCCCGCCGCCTTCTGAGAAGGCCTTCTCCTTCTCACTTGCCCCCCTCGCTCGCCGCCGAATGTACAGTAGTTGTTCTTCCTCTCGTGTCGGGTGTTGCCAAAACTGTCCCTGGCCCAAGGTGTCCCTGGGATCTCCGCGGAGGCCCAGATGGTCCCCGGAGCACCCCTCACGATGCTCGGAGGGCCCATGGGGCTCAGCAGCGGTTCGAAGAGCTGGGGACACCTTGCGCCCGCACCACTTCTGACAGCCCCTGGCCCCTTGAATCAAGGGAGGAAAAGCCACCCAGACCCAACAATAGGTGTTTACTGAACGGCCCTGGGCGTTTACTGTAAATCGCTCTGCCCTCTTCGATTCCTTCCCTGGGTGCGTTTACGAATCGGCTTCGCTTGTCGGGCTGATGATTATGGGGGGTGGGGTTCTGACTTCCATTCAAGGCGGAAGACCCGAGACGTCCCTCTTTGGTCCAGTTCGGGGCCTCAAGACACAGCCACGATCAGGCGTCTCGAGCGAGCCAGGGCGGCCAGACATTTCGAGTCTGGTCACCTGCAGTCAGCGGGACATTTGGTGTTGGTGGAGATTGACGCGCGTGTGCATCGGGGTACCCTTGGGCCGAGCTCTACGCTTGGGCCACCGCTGCGCCCCCTGCTCTTTCGTGCGAGAGGCGTGGGCACAAGGCTGGCCCCCCCCCTTGCCCGGCATCAGCCCAGCCCAGGCCCAGGCCAGCAAAAAGAAAAAGAAGCAATAAACTAATATAAACTACCCAATCGGCAGAGCAACGAACAAAACACGCAAAGCGACAAAAGCGACAAAGCACAAAACTGAAAGCACCCGAAGGTCTTCCCAGGCGGTCCCCCACCCCAGTACTAGCCGGGCCCTGCGCCGCTTAATTTCGTCCCCTCCCCTCCCCCTCCCCTCTTCCTGGCAGGAAGCTGGATACTGTCCCCGCGACACGTGAGAGCGAAACTATGAACTTTTTTCCGAGCGGTTCGCTTTCGACTTCGCTTTCTTAACTATTAACTTTTTCGGGGGAGCTTCGCTTCCGCTTTCGCTTTCCTAACAATTAACTATTGTTTTCTGCGCTTCGCTTAGTCATTCCCGCCGTCGCCTGAACTTGTCCCATGCGACCGTGCCTTCACCTAATTATGAATCGCGCGCCCACTGGGATTCAATGGTTTCGGTACCGAAGGCACGTGGTATGTATGCACGTGGGGCAACCGATGTCGTGCAATATATGAGATGCGAGCTACGTGGTGCAATCTATGTGGTGCCATCAAGGTTGTGCGACACATGTGGTGCGATGTATGTGGTTCAATAGGTATATGTAGCGCAACCTATGTGGTGCAATATGCGTGGTGCGATGTATGCGCCCATATTTATGTGGCGCAACCTATGTGGTGTAAGGTTTGTGGTGGAAGCTACGTGGTGCAAAACATGTGGTGCAATAGCTGCGATGCTGTCCATATGGTGCAATCTATGTGGTGCAAGCTATGTAGTGCAATCTATGTGGTGTTAGCTATGTGGTGCAATCTATGTTGTGCAATCTACGTGGTGCATCTCGGGTGGCGAAGAGGCAGCGACGGGGCGGCGACGGCGCACCGCCAGACCAGCACCCACGCCCAAACGACAGGCGGCGACGAAGCGGCGACGGTGACAACATAGCCGGTAGTTGCGCTCCCAGGCCCACCTCCTTAGAGAACACATGAAAAACCTTGAGTGCAAACATTGTTTGGGGAACCTTGGATATACTGGCGAATCGCACGATTGACATAGAATGTTGGTACGTTCGCGAGCTCCAGGCTCAAGAGCTCGTCGCATCCCAGGTGGTGGACCTCCATTCCCTTTTGCAACGGCCCCAACAGACTGCCGACAGCATGTCGGCTTTTGTTGGGGCCGATAACATTACGAAACGAACAATAAGGACAACCAGACATCATCCCAACTCACGGTATACACGTATACACTATGTTGTTATTACGTTTCATTCATCTTAAAACACAAACAGCATAATGTTCCAATATGGTGTCATACCCGCACCCAATATTACTATTAAATTGAGTCTGCGCTATGACGGTAACGTGCCGTACGCAACGATGCCCATATTCATGCGAATATGCGCAATGTCGTGAACATTCGTGCAATAAACCATCTGTGGTGAAAAAACAATAGTACTGGTTTCATCCGACAATACACGTAGCGGGGAATACGACCACGATTACCAACACAAAATAAAATAAAAAACATTCACAAAATAGCTGCGCGAATAGTAATGACAACATCTGTGTTGGCTCGCAGGATTCGCACAAAAACGAAATCATATGGGCAATGCCAATTCCATTACCTCAGGTTGGCCTTTGGCAATGTAACTTGGTATGTCGCGTCCGTTTTCGGACCCGCAGTCTGAATCGCATTCGCAATTGAATCGCGCGCTCATCTTGATTATCATACGCATGTGATTCCGCTTTGTGGCAGCACTTCCTGGTGTTTTTTGGGGGGCGCGCGTGACATCGCGCTGCTCTGCCAGCGCGATAGATCAGGACGTGGAATGCACGAACGGACCATGCTGCTACCATGCGGAGATCCTAACTTCAGCCTTGCGTCCTCTCGGCGCTTTCGCTTTCTCGCTAACTAACTTCGCCCGGTGCGGCCTCGTCGTCTTTCGTGACTAACTCGTCGGGCCCGAAGCTCGCCGTCTTCTGAGTTTCGCTTTCACGTGTCGCGAGGATACAGTCAACCCGCATAGTAAGGATGGGCAATTGTCCCAAGGGTGCCCTTGCATCCTTGCTCCTTCGGCCCATCGTTAGCGAACTTTGCTGGCCAACCTCGTTCGAAGTAACGTGAACACGGCCCTTCAAGGCCCTTGTTTCTTACCGCGCATCCTTATGATACGGAGCGGCTGTACACATGAGGCGTGCCAGAGAACGGGTGGGAGGAGAGGGAGTCCGCGCGGGGGGAGACGGGGGCAGGCGCTCAGAAGCGGAAGGAAGCTGGATCCGCATGAGGCGTTCCGAGAAGGGCCCCGCCTCCGTCCGTAGCCATTCTTACTCGAGCCAAGGCCCGGGTTCGTCCGCCCGCGCGCCCCAGCGACTGCGGGGCGGGGCAGCGGCGCCATGCCCGGCCTTTCCGTCATTGAGCACGCCCTGGAGGTGATCGTCGGCCCCCCTGTTGGCGACGACATCCTCGAGGGGGCCCTGTCTCCGAGCGGCGACCACACGCCCTCGCCCGAGCGCCTGACGGCAATCTTTCCCTTCATCTTCGGCGGTGCTTCGGTGGGCAAGGAGGAGCCGAGCCCGAGGAGCGCCCGCCGCTCCGCGCGGCGGCCCCGGACGCCTGTCGCGGCCGCAAGGCTCCAGCGGCTGGCGGAGGCCCCGCAGGTGCCGAGGTCCATGCTGGACCGGGGCCTCATCATTAACAGCGCGCCCCTGGACGAGGGCCTCGATGGTGTTGGGGGCAGCGCCGGAGGCGGAGACGACGGCCTCGGGAAGCCGGCGTGGCCGCAGCACACCGGCGACGAGTCCGTCTCGTCGGGGGCGGACGCCGCGTCCAGCGGCACGGGCTCCGCCTCCTCGTGCGCCACGGCGCTGGCGTGCCCCGGCGAGCCGCTGCAGAGGCGCCACCCCGTGCTGCCGAGCGGGGGCTTCCTGAGGAGGAAGCGCGCGGAGCGGCGGTCCCGCACGGAGGGAGAGCGTGACCTCTGCGAGCCGCGGGTGCCGTCGGGGCACACCGGCGCAGAGCTCTCCACCGCGCTGGCCAAACCGGGAGCGGGCCCGGCCGCGGCGAGGGCGTGGACCCCGCCGCCGCGCGCGGCGGCGGGCCGCGGGCCGCACGGGGCGGCGCCGCCCTGGCCGAGCGAGGAGGCCCGCGGCGCGGTGCCGCCGCCGGCCGCTGGTCGCGCGGGCGGGGCGGCGGGGCCGCCGCGCGGCGGCGGGGCGAGGGCGCGCTCGGCGGGCCCCGCCAGGGCCTCCTGCGTGGAGTGCCTCGACGGCACCTCGGTCGGCCCGGGCTGCCTGGTGACGGTGCGGGGGGCCTCCGATGGGCGCGCGCAGGGGGAGTTTTGCAGGGCCAGGGTGCTGATGGTGGACACCGCCAGTGCGTCGTGCAAGGTCAGGATGCGCGACGGCAGCATCCAGACGGTCTGCGCGCGGCAGGTGAAGCGCCTGGTGCTCAAGCTCAGGTACGCGATCGATGGCGACCTCCGCTGAGGCGCCGCCGACAGTCGCGCCGGCTGGATGCCGGCGCCGGCCAGATGCCAGCTGGATGCCGGCTGGACGGCAGCGGGGGGAGGCGGCAACGGGCGGACGGCATGGGAGGGCGGGGGAGGAGAGCCTTGGGCCACGAAAGTGCGCCATGAGACCAAAGGGTCACATTAATGATTTGGGGTAACTGGCTTCACCACGGAGCAATGACAAGGCGGGCGCGCGTCACATTTATTTGCGCGTCCTTCCAAGGTGCCCGACTCAATGCCACCAAGTTTCGAGAGAATGCTTGCATGACGCCGTGACGGACGCGCATCTCACGAATTCTCATGAGTCTGATTTCGAGGTGCTCGCCTTTTTTCTCTTCGTCTCCTGCCCATGCATCGCGCCCCCTCTCTCCTTTCTTCCTTCCCTCCCCGCCCGAAGTCTGGGTCAGAGGCATTTCGCCCGCAGACTCGTGGAGGTTTCAGCGCTGATGCTGCTCCTGCTTGTCTCAGATGAGTTGTCGGCACGAAATTTGGCGCGTCATGACCCACGTGCTTGGAGTTGGCTGTGGCCGCGTCATTCCATTTTATGTGAACCCATCAACACAAATGCAATGATTTTTTCTGACACATGGGGGATCGGGATCCCAGCGCGAGGGAGGGGGAGGGAGAGAAGGATGGTGTAAAAGGCAGTTGATGAGTTAATTCGGAGGAAGGGAATCTGTGGAAATGCTCATGTCTGACAGACTTCGAATCTCACGCAGTATTTCCGCCTCTTGGGGGCACACGGGAATGGACCTGCTACACTTGCGCACCCAATGTTTCAAGAATTTGGTATCGGTGCATCTTTGGCACCCTGGGCTGGAGCGGCAGCATCCTGCTCTCGCAGTCTTTCGTGTCGGTGTGCGTTTAGCATCCTTGGCTGGAGTGGCAATATCACGCAGACCCAGTCTCTCGTGATCGGTGCGCATTCAATTAGTCGGCACCCGCCTCTAGAGTCGAAGAGCGACCTGCGCGGCAAGCAATCCAATTGACGAGGCTTCCGCGGCCATGCCTCTTCGATTGTCCTCGAGGGCCTCTGCACGCACAACTGTGGTGCAGGTATTCTCTCCGCACCCCATGTGTTTCCTCCCTGCCTCCGCCAGTCTTCTATTCCGATTCGTCTTCCTCCTTCGTCCGCTCATCCTGCGTGTTTAATTACGGCCAGAGAAGACCCTCAGCCGTAGGATCGTCACAATTCGTGTAAGTTTGTTGTTCGCGACGGCCAAACCGAGGCTTGCCGATTGTAGCGACACCCGCTGCATCGCTGTACGGGTGCTCCAGCACCCGCCGCGTCCGAATGGATCCGTTCAGACCCAGAGCTTCCGCGAGGTCCTGGGTCTCGTTCCGAATGTTGACCCTTCGCGCTGGCAGGGCCAGGGCCCCTCTCCGGCACTCGCGGACCGGGCGCGCACCTGGCACGCCCGCAGGGGCAGAGAGCGCAGGGCCTCTCTGGTCCTGCGCCCTCCTGGCCTCCCCGCCTCCTACCTCCCCTTTCCCTCCCTCCCTTCCCTCCCTGCACCCTCCTCGTTCTCTCCCGTCCCCTCCAGCTCCGCCGTCTCCTCTGCGAGCGAGGTGGCAGCGGCGGCGGAGCTGCAGGCGTTACTCTCGAGGCACACTTGTCGAGTGCCGAAGCCGTTCGCCAGGAATTCGTGGCGCGCGCCCCCCCTCCCGTTCCTCTTGCCCTTGCACTTCTCAGCAGAGCGGGGCCGCATCCGAGGCTTTCCTTCGGAGTTCTCGCGCCGGAAGTGCGGATCTTGTACGCTCCTCCCCTCTTGGCTTCCCCCTCGCGCGAGCGTCGGACTTGCTCCCGGGTCCGCGCGGGTGGAGCCCTGCGCGATGCGGCGAGCGCCGCAGGGAGGGCGGCGGCGCTGCGCGGCGAGGCGCTCTCACGGTGCGCTGTGCGGCGCCAGGATCCTTCGAGGCCGGCGGGCCGAGCCTCTGCCTCGGGCGGGGACTGCCCCGCCTCGACTCTGGGCGCAAGAGTGGCCTCTCGCCGGAGTGACCTTTGGTGCGGGTACGGATGGGCCCTCGGAGGGGCCCTCGGATAGCTCTGAGGCCGTCGGGCCGCTTCGGGGACTGCCCCTCCTCGACTGGACGTGAGAGAGAGTGACCTCTCGCCGGAGTGGCCTCTTGGTGCGGGCACGGGTGGGCCCTCGGATGGCCGAAAGCGAGGTGGCAGCAGCGGCTTGCGCGCCCAGGTGTGTGCTCTCCCCGCGGCCCCCCGAAAGGCCGCGCAGCAAAGGTCACTCTTGCCCAGGGTCACACTTGCGTGTAGCCGACCTCCGCAGGATCCGCACCTTGGATTTCCTGAGGCTGCTGGGCCTCTCGGGTCCCCGCCGCCTGTTCGTGCACGCCTTGGTGGCTGGAGGGGCCAACGCTTGCGCGCACCGTCTGTGCGGCGTATTTTCTGACATCTGGCTGGAGCGGCAAGGCCCTGCGCACCCAGCCGTTGTAATGAGGCCGTGTGTCTTCGGGCATTTGTTTGACACCCTTGGCTGTGCACGCAATGGCCCGCGGACTCATCCTTTCAATGCTGAGGGCTCCACGTACATTTGTCATTGGTTGCTTTCGTGGCCCTTTGCGCGAGGCTATGATGCGGATAGTCTCTTCGCCATCTCCAGTCATCTCCAGTCGGTTCACGCAGTGAGTGCCGCATTGCGTGGAGGCAGCTCCCAGCGATGTGATGGGCGCTGCGGAAAAAAAAAAAGGCCTCGCCTTCAAGGATCGAAGGGGTTGCCACCTCTTCCTCGGTGGAAGGCGGCGGAAGTAAAACGAGGCCACCTCCGCCGGCAGAAGGCGGCGGAAGGAGCCAGCGGAAGTAAGGTAGTTATGTGCCCCCAAGAGATGGAAGCGTTTGTAGGCTCAGGGTTCCCGGAATCGGTCACAGGGTGCGGCCGGCCTGGGCGAGAGCGAGAGCTGGGTACGCATGCGGCCCGAGTTTTGTCCGGCGCTCGGCCCTTCCGTGGCCGTGTGAGCCGGGCTTCTGCGCGCGTATCCAGCAGGTGGCCTCCAGAGGTTGCGCGTGCGGATCCAGCCATGTGAGTGTGTGTGTGTGTGTGAGTGTGTGTGTGTGTGTTCCCGGCTTCCGGGCACTCCAAGGAAGCCCAATCGAGCGGGGACATGCTCTCCAGCAGCCCGTGCCGGAAACACGAGAAGGAGCTCCGGATTTGCACTCCTTACCGGGCGCGAGCGCGGACTCCAGCCGCCCACGGCGTGCACTCTTGCGCTGCCTCTTCGGCACGTCGCCGCCGCCGCCGTCGCCGCCGCCGCCGTCGCCGCCGTTGTCCTTGCAGTCGCTGCTCTTGCAGTTCCCGCCGCGGTCGTCGCCGCCCTGGCCGCCGTCGCCCTTGCTGGCGGCATCGCCTGCGCCACCGCCATGGCCACCGTCGTGGTCGTCGTGGTCGTCGTCGTCGTCGTCGTCGTCGTCGTCGTCGTCGTCGTCGTCGTCGTCGTCGTCGTCGTCGTCGTCATCGCTGGCGCCGCGGTCTGGCCGTAAGTTCCCAATAGCAGAGTGCCCAGTCAGCGGAGTGTTGTTATCAGTGGAACTTGGCGGTGCCAAGCCGCCCGCCGGGACCAGCGGCGCGCCCGCCTCCCGTGAGGTGCGGGAGGTGCGGGACCGGGACGGCCCTCGGAGCAAGTGCATCATCTTCGCCCAGTGGGGCGCGGTCTTGGCAAGCCTCGAGCGAGGTCTCCGGATTTCAGTGTCGTTTTTCCCAACCATCTTGTGGTGTTGGGTCTTCGTTTTGAAGAGACAGCGCCCCGCGTTCACTCCTCCCGCTGCCCCCTCCCTCCTCCCCCTCCTTGCCTCTGCTCTCGGCACACCTCTCACACGTTTCGTAGCCCCATAGGGAGCTCCACCGAAGGTCCCAGTGAGGGGGGCGCATGCGGTTCCCACACCCAGGGCAGCGCTTCGTGGCCCCATAGGGAGCTCCACCGAAGGTCCCAGTGAGGGGGGGCGCATGCGGTTCCCCCACCGAGGGCAGCGTTTCGTGGCCCCAGAGGGAGCTCCACCGAAGGTCCCAGTGAGGGGGGGCGCATGCGGTTCCCACAACCAGGGCAGCGTTTCGTGGCCCCATAGGGAGCTCCTCCGAAGGTCCCAGTGGGGGTAGGCGCATGCGGTTCCCCCACCCAGGGCAGCGCTTCGTGGCCCCATAGGGAGCTCCACCGAAGGTCCCAGTGTGGGGGGGGCGCATGCGGTTCCCCCACCGAGGGCAGCGTTTCTTGGCCCCACCTCCACCGAAGGTCCCAGTGAGGGGGGGCGCATGCGGTTCCCACACCAGGGCAGCGATAGGGAGCTCCACCGAAGGCCCAGTGAGGGAGCTCCACCGAAGGCGCATGCGGTTCCCACACCCAGGGCAGCGTTCGTGGCCCCATAGGGAGCTCCACCGAAGGTCCCAGTGAGGGGGGGCGCATGCGGTTCCCACACCCAGGGCAGCGTTTCGTGGCCCCATAGGGAGCTCCACCGAAGGTCCCAGTGAGGGGGGGCGCATGCGGTTCCCACACCCAGGGCAGCGTTTCGTGGCCCCATAGGGAGCTCCACCGAAGGTCCCAGTGAGGGGGGGCGCATGCGGTTCCCACACCCAGGGCAGCGCTTCGTGGCCCCATAGGGAGCTCCACCGAAGGTCCCAGTGGGGGTGGGCGCATGCGGTTCCCCCACCCAGGGCAGCGTTTCGTGGCCCCATAGGGAGCTCCACCGAAGGTCCCAGTGGGGGGGGCGCATGCGGTTCCCCCACCCAGGGCAGCGTTTCGTGGCCCCATAGGGAGCTCCACCGAAGGTCCCAGTGGGGGTGGGCGCATGCGGGGGCAGCGGTCCCCATAGGGAGCTCCACCGAAGGCCCCAGTGGGGGTGGGCGCATGCGGTTCCCCTACCCAGGGCAGCGCTTCGTGGCCTCATAGGGAGCTCAACCGAAGGCCCCAGTGGGGGTGGGCGCATGCGTTTCCCCCACCCAGGGCAACGCTTCGTGGCCCCATAGGGAGCTCCACCGAAGGTCCCAGTGGGGGTGGGCGCATGCGGTTCGCGCACCCAGGGCAGCGTTTCGTGGCCCCATAAGGAGCTCCACCGAAGGCCCCAGTGGGGGTGGGCGCATGCGGTGGCCCCATAGGGAGCCTCACCGAAGGCCCCAATGGGAGTGGGCGCGTGCGGTTACCCCACCCAGGGCAGCGCTTCGTGGCCCAATAGGGAGCTCCACCGAAGGCCCCAGTGGGGGTGTTCGCATGCGTCTCCCCTGCCCAGGACAGCGCTTCGGTTCCCCATAGGAGCTCCACCGAAGGCCTCAATCGGAGTGTTCGCATGCGGTTCCCCCACCCAGGGCAGCGCTTCGTGGCCCCATAGGGAGCTCCTCCGAAGGCGCCAGAGGCGCAGTTCGCATGCGTCTCCCCCGCCCATGACAGCGCTTCGTGGCCCCATAGGGAGCTCCACCGAAGGTCCCAATGGCGCAGTTCGCATGCGTCTCCCTCGCCCAGGGCAGCGTTTCGTGGCCCCATAGGCAGCTACACCGAAGGCCCCAGTGGCGGTGTCCACATGCGTCCGCGCCACCAATTCGCAACTGCACATGGTTGGGTCCTTCGTCAGGCTAATTCCCAACTCTGCCTTGGCTTGGATTCTCGTTCTGGATGGAGCGCTGCTCGCGCGTCTCCTTCCTCCCGCCTCCTCCCCCTCCCTGCCTCCTGCCTTCTTGCTCGCCACTTTCGTGGGCTCATGGGAGGCACAGCGGAGGTGAGGGCAACGTGTATCATCTGAGACCTCGCGGCTCCTTCGGGTCGGGGGCTGCGAACTGTGCAGCCGTCGCCACTTTCGTGGGCTCGCGGCAGGTGCCGCGGAGGTTAGGGCAACGCGGATCGTTTTAGATTTTGCGGTTCCCCCTAAGGGGGCTGCGAACTGTGCAACCGTCGCCATTTTTGTGGGCTCCTGGGAGGCTCGGCGGCGGTGAGGGCAACGCGGATCATTTCAGACCCCGCGGCTCCTTCGTAGGTTGCGAATTTGTGCATCTGTCACCACTTTCGTGGGCTCCCGGGAGGCGCCGCGGAGGTGAGGGCAACGCGGATCATTTGAGACCCCGCGGCTCCTTCGGGGGTTGCGAATTGTGCAAACGTCGCCACTTTCGTGGGCTCCTGGACAGCACGGCGGAGTGCACGGCGCCCGCATGCGTCTTGGCGCCGTCGTATCATTTAGCGCGCGGCGCGGTTGCATCTCAGATCGCTGGAGCGTCACGTAGCGCATGGCGTTGTCCTCTGTGGCCCACTTCCCCCTCCCTCCTTTGGTGCCTGTCGCCCGCAGCAGCAGCAGCAGCAGCAGCAGCAGCAGCAGCAGCAGCAGCAGCAGCAGCAGGGGTGAACCGAGCAGATGTAGCGCATGGCGCTATTACTCTCACGTGTACTGTTCCCCCGTCCGTCTCCATCCTCCTTGTCCTCCCCCTTCTTCCTCCTCCTCCTCCCCCTCCTCCTCCCCCTCCTCCTCCTCCTCCTCCTCCTCCACTTTTGTATCCACTGTATGTTCCCTGTCGTGCTTGTCGTCGCGGCTTTTTTTGCGATCTGAGTGATGCAGGTGTGCGACGCGCGTGGCCTGGCATCGTTCGGCGAAGCGTTTCAGAGCGCGGCGTAGGTTGCTATGTGATGCTGTGTGTGGAGCGTTCATGCAACCCCTCGCGTGGAGCAGGGCTTGTTACGTTTCGCGTAATTTGCGGTTTGCGGTGGCGTTCGGGCATTCGGCTCGCAGGCCCAAGGCTTGAAGAGAGAGACCATCTCTTGTCGTGGAGTCCAATCGTTGCTGGTGTTCTTCCATCTTCGTTCTCAACTGCAGGGGATTCAATATCATGCTTCTTCCTGTGGCTAGGGCCCATGGCACTCAGTTTTCACCGGAAGAGGCTCGCTCTCGACCCGGAGACCAAAAAGTGGCCGCGTCTCGAGGGAGACGCGGCGCTCGCTCCTGGCGAGGGGCCCGCCGTTCTGCGAGTGGCGCGAGGCGAGGACCGCGCCGCGCTCCAGCGGGCGCCCGCGAGGGCTGGGTGGGGGGGGCGCGAGACGCTCGCCCGCGCCCCCCCACCCCAAAAGTCATCCCAAGGACGTCTTTCTATCCTTCGAGCCTCCTCCTCCTCCTCCTCCTCCTCCTCCTCCTTTTCTCCTCCTCCTCCTCCTCCTCCTCCTCCTCCTCCTTTTCCCCTCCTCCTCCTCCTCCTCCTCCTCCTCCTCCTCCTCCTCCTCCTCCTCCTCCTCCTCCTCCTCCTCCTCCTCCTCCTCCTCCTCCTCCTCCTCCTCCTCCTCCTCCTGGGCTGGGGCGGCAGAGGCTCCCAGGCCTCCCAGATGGGGTGGGAGTAGAGTGGGTCGGAGGATCGCGCCGCATCGCCGATGCATCGCCGATGCGGCTCTATGTGGGGCCCCGCCCGACGTCGCTGATGCATCGACGGCGCAATGCGATCCTCCGACCCCGTATACCCCGATTCCATGTGGGAGGCCTCTGGGAGGCCTGGTCCCAGCAAGCGGCGGCACGGGGAACGCTGTTTTCCAGACTTGGCCATGCCCCTGGGCTCCGCAGACGCGGGCATGGTAAGCGGGGGCATGAGGAAACAACACACTTTGTTTGGCAATGTCCCGCTTGAGGGGGCCCGAGGTGGGGGCGTCGGTGCCGTGCCGCTCCGAGCTCCCCAGAGGAGAAGCTCGCGCGCCAACGCCATCCCCAGTTGGGATCTGCGCGCTGCGCCTGCCCTTACGAGGCCGCTGGCGCCCCCAGGGGGGAAAACACGAGGGCATGTGTACTGACGCATCCTTGGTTTTGCGCATCCTCTGTGTTTGTTCCGCATCCCCTTCGTGCTTGTATTCCGCATCTCCCTGTCCTGCTCACGATGTTTTGTCCGCATCTCTTTGTCCAGCTCGTGTCCAGCTCACGGTGCTTTGTTCGCATCCCTTCTTGCAGCTCGCAGCGCGCTCTTTCCGCGTCCCCCTTGCGTCGGTGCAGAACTTCTCTCCAGGGGGGCGAGGGCTGCCCAGTGCTGCAGTGGGCATGCCGCGCGTCGGCTTCGGTCCGCGCGGGTCCAGAAGGCGTCCGGTGGGCGGGCGGTGGCGGCAGCGGCGGCGTTTCCGTTTTGCTGTTGCGCCCCGTCCGTCTGGCGTTGTGAGTCGCAGGGGCGCGAGTTTGGGAGCGCCGACGTGGTCCGACGGAGGCCGTGAGGCTGCGGGTCGGGCGGGCGGCGAGAGCTCGGCGAGGGCACCGTGGGGCCCCTCGCCCGAAGCACGCGAGGCTCGTGCCAGTTACTGCGCTCGGCTCCGCCCTGTTTGCACTGAAAAACTTTGGTGTCATCACGCAGTGGAGCTGTCGCCCGGCCAGGTGGAAACTGATAAGGCCGCGTCGCGACGGAGGGGACGTTTATCCTGGATCGCAGCAGGGTCATTCACGTTAGAAGGGGGCTCGTCTTCGAGGATCGAATGAGTTGGCATCTCTTCCTCGACGGAAGGCGCGGAAGTGAAGCGGCGGCGGCTCCACAGGTGGAAGGCCGTCGGAAATTGGTGGACGTAAACGATGGCCCCCCAAGAAGCGTCATTTTTGTATCCAGGGTTTCCGGAACGAGCCAGTAGGTCGAAGGTATCTGCATTAGAGATCCCGGCATGCGGCACATATCCCGCAGCGGTCTTTGCCTTTCGGCGCGTGCATGTGTGAGTCCCGCACGTGTGTTGTCACATCGTTGCCCCTTCAGCAACAGAGGGCGAAGCCGGACTGTTCCACCTCCGGTTTTCCACCTGGCCGCGGGATCCGTGGTCCAGTGTCTTCTGGCCTAGAGATTGCAGGGGTTCGAGTCTGAAATATCATTTCGGCCTTCTTTTCGGATGCTTCCCCATTGCTCTGGAGGCCAGGCGGCACGCGCCGGAGCTTTGCCCTCGGCTGACCGCGCCGTCTACTCAGCGCGCACGTTCGGAGTTGTTGCTTGCCTCCCTGCTCCCCCACGGGGGTTGGGGCCTCCCCCTGCGAGGTCTGCAGACCGTCGGCATCCCTCCGCTCAGGCTCGCGGGCAACCCGCGGCAGCAGAAGCAGGCGCTCTCGGACTTCGCAGCGGGCAGCAGCGCCGAGGAGTTCGCCCTGCTGCTGACGTTCGAGCAGTGCTGCGGCGGCCTCGGCCTCGCGAGCGCCCGCCACGTGATGCTCGTCCACCCGGCGTGCTCGGAGCACGCCGCGGGCCCAGTGGAGCAGGAGATGCAGGCCATCGGCAGGGTGCTGCGCCAGGGCCGCAGGGGCCCCGTGCACGTGCACCGCTTCTCCGCGAAGTGCACCGTGGAGGAGGTCCTGGCGCGGCAGCACCAGGATCCAGGGCCTCTGAACTTCGAAAGGATCGAGAAATGAGTAATCACACCAACAATGGACACAAAGAACCGACAGCAGTTCCGGTTCACTTCGATCAGGTCTCGCTGTCGGCGTCGTCGCGGACGTTTCCCATTTGCGACAGACAGCCGCCTGTCCACCGGTGGCCGCCGCTGTTGGTTTTGAACAACATGTGCTGTTGGGCAGTGTACAATTTTTTCCAATACCCATTTCGGGCGTCCAAAGGATGGGGGCCATATCATCCAACGCACACGCGTCGCCGATGCATCGGCGGCGCATTCGCCATCCAGGGCCCGATCCTCTGCTGACTCGCTTCGCCAGTGCATCCTCGATGGCGTCGGCCATGCGGCGGGATCTTGGGACCTCTTTTGCTCCTGGCCCATTTGAGCGACGCAAGAAAACCGGATCGTCTTCACTGACACTGGCGCGTAAGTTGCCCACGTAAGGTCGCGCGTAAGCGCATTCGTTTCCAATGTGGCGTGCCGTGTTGGCGGCCCGCGTAAGCCGCCGCTTAAGGTCGCTGTGTCATATCGTGTACGACCCTTTTCTTTTCGTCGCTCATTTGGGAGTCCTGAGCAGGAGGCTTGCTGTCGCGCAAGTGCGCACGCTGCTGGCGGTCTTCGCTCAGCAGGGTGACCGCGCCGGGAGGTCAGCGTTTCTGGCTTTCACTTGTAATGGGCGGCCAGAGTGGGACATGTGTCACAGCTGCAGTACTCCTCATCCTCTCATCCCTCCTGGCTGTGACTGCTCACTCCAGAGGAGGAGAGGGGGGAGGGGAGGAACAAAAACAGAGGAGGGGAGACGGGAGGAGCAGAGAGCAGAGAGCAGGGAGCAGGGAGCAGGGAGCAGGATCAGGAGCACGAGCATGAGCACGAGCACGAGGAGAAGGGACGGGGGGAGAAGGAGGGGGAGAGCGGCCAGGGTGGTTTTCGTACGGCGATATTTGTCACAGCTGCAGTTGGACGTGACGTCTATGTCCGCCCAGCAGCAGTATCCCAGCGGAAGCCGAGGATTTCCGATGTGCCCTGCATGCAGTAGCTGAGAGGCATCGTTTTATTTAGATCTCGCTGCCAGCCTCTGGCGCGGGCAAGCCGCGTCGACGAGGCGGGGGAGGCAGGTTCGAACGGAGCTGGATGGGAGAGGATGAGCAGGGGGAGGGAGAGGAGGAGGAGGGACGAGGAGGAGGAGGAGGAAGAAGAAGAATAATAAGACGAATAATAAAAAGAGCAGGAGGTGGAGGAGGAGGAGGACGAGGAGGAGTTGGATGATGATGATGATGATGATGATGATGATGATGATGATGATGATGATGATGGTGGTGATGATGGTGATGGTGATGGTGATGGTGATGGTGATGGTGATGGTGATGGTGATGGTGATGGTGATGGTGATGGTGATGGTGATGGTGATGATGATGAGGAGGAGGAGGAGGAGGAGGAGGAGGAAGAAGACCAGGAGGAGGAGGAGGAGAAGGAGGAGGAGGAGGAGGAGGAGGAGGAGGGGGAGGAGGGGGAGGAGGAGGAGGAGGAGGAGGAGGAGGAGGAGGAGGAGGAGGAGGAGGAGGTGGAGGAGGGGGAGGGGCATGGGAGGGCAGGTTGAACGTCGGGAGCTGCGGAAGCACGGGCTGCGGGGACGGGCTGTAAGCGGCCAGACTGTGGATTGTACAGATTTCACGCTTGCGCCGTCATGTGCGCCCCGGCAAAAGTCCTGGCCAGGGGAGTGGACACGGAAGGGCCAATCGAGATAGAGATCATTGTAGACGGTTGCAGTGATGTTGCTCGTGACGCCGCCCGCCATGTTCAAGATGGTGGTGATGACGACGATGATGACGATGGTGACAGCGGCGATTTGAGAGGTGATGGTGAATTGTGATGATCGTGGCAATTGGGAGCGTCCTGTGATGTGCTTGACGGTTTCGTTTGGGGCAATTTTAGGAGAGGATAGGCTCAGGGGGGATGCATCGACCCCCAATCGCAAATTCTTGACGCTTCAGCCTATCCAGACACGATCGGAGGCTTTCTTGAGGCCTCTCGGAGGTTATCTTGAGCCATGCTCGGCTAGAGGCTGTCGGAGGGCATCTTGAGCCATGCTCAGCTATCTTGGGATATCTTGAGGCTTCTTGGAGGTCTGCCGGGGGCTCAACTGGGGGAACCGCGGGGCGGATACTGGGGGAACCGCCCGGGGCGAGGAACATTGCCCAGCCCCTTTAAGCCCAGCGAGTAAGAACCCTCTAGGCAGAGCCTAGGTAGGGAAATATGGGGAATCCTGTTAACTGTGTGTATGTATTTGTTTGTCCCAGGGCCCCTTCAGTATTGGACCATGTTCGGCTATCTTGAGCCATCTTGGAGGCCGTCCTGGGCTGCCGAGGGCCCTCCACGCTGCCGCTTGGTCCAGACTCGCTGCGGCTGCAGGGCCAAGCCGAGCCCCCACATCAAGGGGTGCAGGGCTGGACCTGAGGACCTCCACCATGGTGTCCCAGATGGGCGAGGCATACCTCAGTAGGGAAAGAAACACACAGACACAATGAATCGTCGATTCCCCCGGAAATATAGGAAAATATGGGAAGTGGGGGGAAGATAAAAACCCAGAACAGATGGGAAAATATGAGGAATCCTGTTATTTGTGTGTATTTATTTGTGTGTCCCAGGGCCCCTTCAATACCAACGGGGTCGTCTGGCGCGTAAGCTGCCCGCGTGAGGTCGCGCGTCAGCGCGCTCGTCTCCAGTGTGGCGTGCCGCGCTGGCGGCCCGCGTGGGCCACCGCGTGATGCGGCCGTGCCAGCTTGCGTAATACCCGTCTCTTTTCGTCGCTCCGATGTGGCAAGGCACCAAAGGTCGGGCGGCGCTTCGGGAGGGTACCCTCAGTGACCTTCTGGTCTTCTCTATGCCTGTGTCGTATCATTTACCGCGAAGCCCGTGGCCTGCCGTCCCGCATTCGTCCGTCGAGCTTTCTCTCTCGACAGCCGCAGATTCGCAATGTGGCTCTCGCGCGCCCCTCGGGTGCCATACTTGCAGCTGCGCCGACGACATCGGAGCGACGCGGCAACGAACTTCATGCCGCCGATCGAATAAGGGAGCGAGCCTCGCGTTTTGGCCAGGCGACCCGCGCGAGGAACATACATCCTGGAGACGCAGGACTCATCTCGGCGGCGAGCCTGGGGGGGAAGTGAGAAGGCGCGGGCTTTCTCGGACTGCTCGGAAGGCCCTCAGCCTTCTGAGAAGTTCTCTAAGCCTGCCCCGAAGACAGAAAGCCTCTCAGAAGGCCCAAGGCCTTCTGAGAAGCCCCGCCGCCTTCCGAGCAGGCCTTCTCCTTCTCATTTCCTTTTCTCGCTCGCCGCCGACCCTCACCCTCCTCCTCCTCCTCCTCCTCCTCATCCTCCTCCTCATCCTCCTCCTCCTCCTCCTCCTCCCTCCCTCCTCCCTCCCTCCCTCCCTCCCCCTCCCTCCCTCCCTCCCTCCTCCTCCCTCCTCCTCCCTCCTCCCTCCTCCCTCCTCCCTCCCTCCTCCCTCCTCCCTCCTCCCTCCTCCCTCCTCCCTCCTCCCTCCTCCCTCCTCCCTCCCTCCTCCCTCCTCCCTCCTCCTCCCTCGCTCGCCGCACTCGAGCGCCCCCCTGGGCCGCCGGCGCCGCCGGGCCGGGCCACCCCGCGCAGAGCAGCAGGCGGGATCGGGGTCCCCTCCGCGTCCCCGCGTGGCACTTCGAGCGCTGGCGCCCCCCCGCAGGGGGATCGACTGCTGGCAGCAAGCTGGCAGCGAGCTGGCAGCGAGCGCCCATACAGGAGGAGGAGGAGGAGGAGGAGGAGGAGGAGGAGGAGGAGGAGGAGGAGGAGGAGGAGGAGGGGGAGGGGACCAGCGATCGAGCAGGGGATCGACTACAGGATTGATGGGCGTCGACCTGTGACCGTCGTGCCATCCGTCCGCATGATCATGGGCGTCGTTCTCGTCGTCGTCGTCGTCGTCGTCGTCGTCGCTAACGTCGAAAGCACGCATTTCCCCCGCCAGAAGACGCTCAAGAACTCCGCGATGATCGTCCTTTTCCTCCTCCTCCTTCTCCTCCTCCTCCTCCTCCTCCTACTCCTACTACTACTCCTACTCCTACTCCTACTCCTACTCCTACTCCTAGCCCCCTCTGCTCAGGAGTTGCAGCTCCAGGGGCTGGAGGGCTCCGCGTCCGCCGTAGACATCAGTCGCTACGGCAGGCCCTCCCCCACAGGCCGCCGTTGCTCACTCTTACACCATGCACACATGATGGTCTTGTCTCTTGTGCTTCTGTGCGGGGTGAGAGTGGCTCTCGGCATGTTCACGTTTGTTCACTGGAACGCGCAGTATGCAGATATCGAGCGCTTGCATGACCTCTCGGAGGAGTTCAAATACACTGATGTGGTGGCAGTCACAAGCACTGGGGAACGAGCGACACCTGATCGCTCGGCCGCGTTCTCGAACCTGAAGCACCACTTCGTGGTACGGTGCGGATACTTAGCTGGGCGCCATGTCAACAAATCTTGTGGTATAGCGTTGCTGCTGAGGAAGAGGGTGTTCAAGCAACGCGGCGTGTATGATGTGCCTAGTGTTCCAGCTGCTCTGCAGGGACGTGCTGCTGTGTTTCGTCTGCGGTCTGGCCGATTCGATGTTCTCATTCCCATCTTGTACTTCCCGCCCCGTCCGAGTGCGAGGCGCGAGGGGCGCGAGTCCCACGTGCAGGCAGCGGCGGCGGCTGCGGCTCAGGCTAGATATCGTGCGACGGTGGATCTTCTCATACAATGGCTTGAAAAAACTCTCACTTGGTCGAAAAAAAGATCGGCTTTGATGATGGGGTTCGACTTGAATGATTCATTCGGCTGGAGACGGAGACAAGGGGGCATCATCGATTGGGTCCGTTCTGGCTCGTCGGGGCCCTACGCCCGTGAAGAGCAGCACTATGCGGCAGACCAGACGCTCGAGCTCTGCGAAAAGCACACTGTGGCCATCGCGACGACGTGCTACAACATCGGGGATACCTTCTACGGCGCCCACGGCTCGAGCAGTATCGACCACGTTGCCGTCTTCAGCTGGCAGATGCCGACGATCACCTATTGCGGGGCGATGAAGCGCACCAATCTTCGTCTCAAGTTGTGCAGTCGAAAGGGGTTATCAGATCATGTACCTATCCTGGTCAAGTTTCAGTATGAATTCGATTTCAGCTCGGCACGAAAGGCTACCACTAGATGGGACTTCGACAGATTGGCGAGTGCTCTTCGGAAAGGAGTTGGTGTTGCGGACTTCCTCGCGGACGTTGAAGCTCAGTTCGGTGCGGCCCCTGATTATCATACGTTGCTTCTTCATGCGAGTGCGCCCGATGATGCCTGGCAGGAGTGGATCACTACGATATATGCTGCTGCTGAACGTCATTTCTCCAAACGGGCGACTCGGAGTCCGACGGTAATTGAATATCAGCAGGCTCGCAGTCGTTTACTTCGGGAGCGACGGCATGCTCGAGAGCACTGTGCGGGCGAACTGGAATCGAGTCTGGAGCTGGCACGGTGCAGCAAGAAGCTGCGACGCCTTCGACGAGCGCATCAGGATGAAGTGACTGAACAGCTGATTGATGAACTCAGTGCTGCCTGGGGTGCTAGACAGCATGCTGAGGTATGGAAGCTAGCGCATGAGCTTGCAGGGCGTTGTTCTGGACCTCGGCGTAGGCGTTTTAATGTTGCTGAGACTTACGCGCCCAGGACGGATGAGATTCGTACGCACTTCAGTGGCCCTGGACATGCTGGGGGTTTCTCTGCGGTGCCTGTGGACTTTGCTGATTACCAGGCTCGGATACTGGAGGATTTGCCGCCGCCCGCATCCTTCGGCAGCGACAACTTCTTGCACGTCGAGCAGGGTCGTGATGATCTGGCTGTGGTTACCGAGCTTGCTGCGAAGGCCCCTCGCAGGAAGGCGGCGCCCCTGCATTCGGTCCCGTCGGAGATCCTCATGCTGGTGCTGGATCCGAATCGGAAGTTCGACGGCGCGTATCGGAAACCACGCCTGGCTCGAAACGACGACGGAGACGAAGTTGAGGATCCTGGACCGCGAGCTGATTTTGTCCCTCGTCATAGGCGAGCTGGTGACAGGAGTGGGCTAGGCACGGAGGCGACGGTGATCTCAAATGAGCTGAGTGCGAAAGCTTTGCAGAAAGCATTTCATCATATTCGGCGTGTGCAGCGGACGCCTGTGGTGCGGCATCACTCTCGTGCGACGGGCTTAGACAAACACAACAATAAGGAGGGCTTCGCTGCACGACGCTACATTCACGGATTGTGTCGCATGGGAGTGCTGTGGTACAAGGCGCAGTTGACCAGAGGCTTCCATGATGATGTGCCCGATCGTGAGCATGGATATCACATGGGTCGTAGCAGGGAGGGCGCACTTATTTGTCAGGAGGTGCTGTTGGCTCGACTTCGTCTGCTGGGAGTCTCGACGGTCACGTCCAAGGAGGATATGGCTAACGCCTTTGGCTGCTGTACGTTTCCTGCTCTTCGGTCAACTGTCTCATCCTCCATTCAGCCTGACTCGCAGTGCTACTTCAACCAGCGGCACGAGACGAGCACCTTCACCATCTGCGGGGTCGACGGGGAGCAGACGATGCACAACCTGTGCGGGGCCTTCATGGGCGACGCGCCCGCGGCGGTCTTCTTCGCGCGCACATTTCGGCATCCCGTGCAGCGGTGGCTGGATCTTCTTCGAGCTCAGACTTGGCATGGGCGGCCTCCTGCCCGTCCTGAGACTCGCGCCGAGTGGGTCGACCAGGAGATTGCGCCGCCGTCGCCGCCCGCTGATCCTGATCGTACGCTGTGGCCTAGCGAGGCGCTGTGCACGGCCTGGGTTCCTATACTCCAGCGCCCCGTGGACCTGTCGACGCGGATCTACGCGGACGACACGAACAAGACGCACATCGTCTCGTCGGCCAAGAATGCGTTGTTCACACTCGAGCAGTCACATGTACACTTGAGTGCTTCGTTATCGACGGAAGGATATTCTCACAATGCTGGGAAAAGTTGTGTCTCTCCCTCCTTTGTGGGTCCTCGGTCGAAAGAGTACAATGCTGCGGTGTTCGGGGGTGCTATTCGTCTGCCAGGCCAGGTCCAGTTCGACAACATTGCGTTAGGTATTCAAACGTCGGTGAATGGAGGAGTACAGGGAGAGCTTCAGCGTCGTATCCTGGCATGTCGGAGAGGTTACTACTCGATGGGGAGGTTCTGGGCAAAAAATCGAGTCTGACGATTTACCCGCATCGTTTTTGGCGCCATCGTCCAGGGGGCCCTCTTGTCGGGCTTGACCACGCTTGTCCTGTCGGAGGCTCAGGAGCTGCGCCTCGACCGTGTGCTGATCGGCTTCGCTCGAAAAATCCTCGGAGGAGATGCATGCCTGAAGGTGGAGGTGAAGGATGAGGAGGGCCAGGTGGTTTTGGATGAACAAGGTAAGGCAGTCGTTCGATATCGAGCTCTCTCTGACGCCGTGGTCTTTCGTCGCGTCGGAGTCGCACCTGCCCGAGTTGAGCTCTGTGTGAGACGGCTGCGTCAGTATCAAAGGTGGATCAGACACCCCGAACGGCATTCACAGGAAATTGGGGCGATCTTTGGTCAGTTACCGCTCGATGCTCATCCCGCACTGTGTGCACAGGGCTTCTTGCACGAGCACGCGAATGCATACGCCATACGCTTCGCGTCGGACATCCTTATCTTGGTCCAGCGGTCCGAGGCCGAGTTGCTTGAGTCATGGCTGTTTACGGGTCCCTCGGATGAGCCCCATATGAGACTCTGCGTGCGGGCCCTCTTCATGGACGGGGATCTTCGGGAACAATTTCTGGCGCTCGATCCTGGACTGCTACGGGCTGAAACCAAGACCGTTGCTATACCGCCTCCTGTTGGGCTCTACGGGCCTCCTCCTGAGGTTCTTGAAGGTGCTCTGGAGGTGCCCCCACCACCGGTTGCGACATGGACGCGCGACCTTCTGAACGACGACGGGACGACCTGCGGGAGGGCCTTCAATACGAAGAGAGCGCTGCTTGCACATCAGCGCTTTGCGAAGGGAGGGGGGCACTCTTGCAGATCTAGAATGCACACCATCATCGTCACGAACGAGTGCATATTCTGTCGTCAACGCTTTCGCACTCGTCGGATTGCTCAGGAGCATGCGGCGCAGGCAGTGATTCGTGGTCGGTGCCCCCCGAATGTCACGCCCTTCTTCCGCGCTGTCCAGGACCCTGAGAGTTTCTTCTGTCCTCTTGCTGACCTCACACGGGGTACTCACTTTGGTGGTCATGATGCATGGGCTCACGAATACTGCTGTTTTCATTCGGAGCCGTTTGAGGATCGAGAGCAACTTTATCGCCATCTTTGTCGGCACTCTCCGAGGGCTCCACTTACTCAGCGTGAGATCGATGTACCGCCTGGGGACGGAGGTGCTCGAGGCGGCGGCCCATCGCTCCCGATCGCACGGAGGTCAGCACAAGGGAGCGCGCAGGGGCCGCTCTGGCTCGGCGGCGGAAGGTTCCCGCCCGCGTGGAGGTGCCAGGCGCCAGCAGCGCAGCACGGCGCCTGCGGGCGAGGGCGCCCCGAGCGCCGCGCAGCTCGCCAAGGCACCTGCCTCGCCTCCAGGGGGCCGCGGCGGGCTCGGCAGGCGCGGCGGGGCAGGAGCGGGACGCGGTGGAGGAGCTCGCGACGACGCTCGTATGCAGATGGGCCAGACGCACGGACTCTCCGCCGACGCTCCCGAGAAGCTGCCCGCCATGGACATGAACCTATGTGCGCGGCTGATGCCAGTGATCATGCGAGCCGTGCTGGGCAACTCTTTCAACCTGAGAATGCTGATGGCGGCAGAGTTCGTCACCATGACGATGGACGAGCAGGCCGAGGTGATTCAGAGTGGTTTCCAGGCGGGACGAGCATACGCCACGGAGGCGGCCAGGATGCGCGACGAGTTCAACCAGGACCCGCAGAACAAGCAGCCGCCCGAGATCATCATGGGGCCAGCATGTGTACAGGTCTTCCTGGTAGTGGCGAAGAAGGTGACAGCGATGGGCGAGCGCGTCGGCATGGCCAACGCCAAGACGTGGAAGGAGCAGCAGGATCGCCTCGACAGTATCTCGTCGATGGGCGATCTCACGATGTTGGTCAAAGGCTTTCGGGTCAGTTCGGCGTTCAAGGAGGGGCTCGCGAAGATCGTCCTCAGCCTGTCCGATCACAACATGCAGCGGTCGCTCCAGAGTTGCCTCATCCAGATGGGGGCGACCCTGAGGCCTGGAATGGCTCCGAGATCTCACACGGAGAGGGTGTTGCAGCTAGCCTTGGACGAGTTCGACCTGTAGCCGACGGCGTTAGAACGCAAGTCCCGTCCGCCTGCTCCTCGAGGGCGAGTCGGGCTCAGTCGTCACGAGGCGTCAGAACGCAAGCCATGGCATCCTCCCAGGGCGTCAGATCGCAAGTCCCGTCCGCCTGCTCCTCGAAGGCGCGTCGGGCTCAGTCGCCACGTGGAGTTAGAACTCGAGTCATGGCTTCCACAGCGGGCGTCAGATCGCAAGTCCCGATCGCCTGCTCCTCGAGGGCGCATCGGGCTCCGTCGCCACCAGGTGTTAGTGCACAGATGGTGTCTGAACGCAGTCGGCAGGATGAGATGGGAATCGTGTCGTGTTCGGCGCCTTCTTTTCAACAGCACGGTGAGGGCACCGTGGAGTATCTACTGGAGGCTGCTACAAGGACGCTGCCAAGAGCCAGCTCTTGTTCGCAGATACCAGGTTCGGGGACACAGGGGGCCAGCTGGAGTACACAGATGGCCAGGGTGAGACCGATGTCAGCTACTCCAGGTGCGAGGGTTGCTGCGTCGGGTTCGAGAGTTACCAGTTCTAGATTGCAGATGCCACTGAGGGGGAGTTCTGCGACGGTGAGGGTGTCGGCCTCCATGTCGACTGAGGCTGTGGGTGCCGTGACCGCCCTGCAGGAGGCCCGAGCCGCTGCTGCCGTCGCTTGTCCCACTCCTCCTCCTCCTCCTCCGAGGCCTCCTTTACCTTCTCGTCCCTCCTTCAAAGACCTCGTGGCCTACGCCGCACGTTTTTAGTTGTTCCTGGCTATATTCCTGTGTGTCTCCCGATTTGTTCGGGGTACGCTGTCAGGGACGCGTTTGGTCTGGATCCCTGGGCCGCAGCGTGAAAAATTCGCTCAGTCTGCTCGCCGTGAACGGCGGTCGAGCGAAGGCAATTCGGGGCTCCCGCCTGTCTGGGGGGGGGGCCGTCGTTTAGTCGCATCTCTTGCGCACGATAGGTCGCACATGGCAGAATCCCCCTGGTGAATGCTGCTCTGTGGTCACTCTGACGCTCGGCCCGAGATCGTTCCACCACCACCACCACTCCTACTCCTCTTCCTCTTCCTCTTCCTCTTCCTCTTCATCCTGCCCCAAACTTGATTTCCCGTGGAATCTACGAGACAGACCTGCAATGCTCCGTGGATCAATGGACTGTTCTACGTATGGATCTCGTGGCGTCGACGAGAACATAAGTTCTGGGGTACATCAATTCTGTAGTCGATCCCCTACTCGACTCTGGACGCGAGCACGGGGCGCAGGTGTCGGGGTCGGCCTTGGGGCAGGGCCGACCCATCCCGCCCGATCCCCTCTGGCATGGAGCTGGGCCTCCCTGCCGGAAACCCCGGCCGGGGAGCTGCTCCGTGGCGGGCCCGGGCTCGCGAGATGGCCCTGGCTGACTTGGGCCAGCGCGTCCCAGTCGGAGGCCCCCACGCCCCGTTGGCGCCAATCTTGGGGGGGGCATCTCGGGCCTGGGGGGCGCCTCACCCGGGCTTCCTTTCGTCCGGCGCACTCCTCCCAGTGGCCCTCCTGCCTCCCCCCCCCCCTTCCCTCCCACCTTCCCCCCCGGATCCTCCCCTCCCCCCCTCCCTTCTCCTCCCTCGTCCTCTCTCCTCCCTCCCTCGTCCTCTCTCCTCCCTGCTCCTTCCTCCACCTCCTCCCTCTTCCCCCCTCTCCCTCCCTCCCTCTCTCCCTCCCTCCTTCCCCCCCCCCTTCCTCCCCCTCCTCCCTCTCTCCCCCTCCCCCCCCCCTGCCTGCTCGGCCCCGGGCCCCGGGGAGCCGCCCGATCCCGCCGGGCCCGCCGCTCGGGAGGCCTGCGCGCGGGCGGCGCACTCGCGCGGGGCCCCGATGGCCCCTCGCGAGCGCGCGGGGCGCGAGCAGCGCTCGCGGAGCCGCAGGCGCTCGCGGCTCGCGGCGGCGCGGCGGCGGCGGCGGCGGCGGCAGCGACGATGGCGGCGGCGGCGGCGGCGACGACGACGACGAGCGACGGACGGACGACGGGGAGAGGAGGCGGCGACCTGGCGTGGTGAGAAGGCGAAGGAGGGAATCCTGCCGCGAACCGGGAGCGTCGGTCCCGAGCGTGGAATGTTCCCCGGTCGAACGGAGGTTCTCTTCCGGGCGAACGGGGGAAATTCTCCGGGGGGGCCCGGGAAATTGTTTCGGGTCCTAGCGGGGAATCTGTTTTGGCTCAGCGAGGATATTTATTTGACCGACGAAGGGTTGGCTCTTGGTGCTATCACGTGTGCTGCTGGGTGTAGGCTGCCCTAGACATCGAAATCGCTGGAGGGCGCGGCTGCAGGGCTCCTTGTTTTGCGCGGGTGTTCGGATTTTGCTCCGTGGTGCGTGGAGGCTCCCAGCAGGAGTTTCCTGTTCCAGCGTCCGTGAGATTCCTCGTTCGACGGTTCCTGTAATCATGTGGGGGGTGGTTTCTTGGCGTAGCGTTCGCCCGATCAACGGTTACTGCTCTAAAGTTGAAATCTTGGCGTGGCCGGCTGTTCTTGGGAAAAGTGCGAGTTTCAAAATTTGGGCAGGCGCGTGTTATGCAGGCGTTCGCTTTGCATTTACATGTAGTCGTCGTGTATTGGAAGAGGGAGGTTCGAAGGCTGGGCTGGGTCTAGAGAAACGATCGCGCTTTCAGGGCCCACTGTTTTTCGCGGGCGCTCGGGCTTCGCTCCGTGGTGTTCGGAGGCTTCCAGTAAGAGTTTCTGATTGCAGCGTCCGTAGGTATCCTCGTTCGACGGCTCCTATTACCAACTGATGGCTTGTTTTGTGACGTAGCGCTCGCTGGATCAACGGTAGCTGCCCTAAAACTGAGAACTCAGGGTCGTCGACAGTCCTCGGGAAAAGCGTGAGTTTTCAACGTTCGGACAGGCGCGTGTCATTCAGGTGCTCGCTTTCAATAATCATATAGTCGTTGCGTATGGGAAGAGGGGGGCTCAAAGGCTGGAAAGGAGGTCTAGAGAAGATATTGCGATTACAGGTATGTTTTTGTTGCGTTCGTTCGGGTTTCGTTCCGTGGCGTCTTGGGGGTTCCAGCTGGAGTTTCCCATTCCAGCGTCCGTAAGTTTCTTCGTTCGACGGCTTTTGTAATCAAGGCGTCGTGCTGTGTTTTGGCGTAGTTTTCGTTTGATCAGCGGTCGATACCCGAAAATTGGAATTCGGGGTGGCCGAAGGTTCTTTGGACAAGGGGAGATTGTTCAACCTTCGGACAAGCGTGTGTTGTTTGGGTGTTTGCTTCGCATTATCATGTTGTCGCTGCTGCTTTGGTCATGGTGTCGTTGCGTTATCATGTTGTCGTACGTGTTCGGCTTGCAGTCTTGTTGTTTAATCGTTCGTTTGCATTGTCATCGGCAGGGCGAGGTTCGAAGGCTGGAAGGGGAGTCTAGAAAACGTATTGCGTTTGCAGGGCTCGTTGTTTTTTTCGCGTTCGTTCGGGTTTCGTTCCGTGGCGTCTTGGGGGTTCCAGCTGGAGTTTCATATTCCAGCGTCCGTGAGTTTCTTCGTTCGACGGCTATTGTAATCAAGTCGTGCTGTTTGTTGGCGTAGTTTTCGCTGGATCAGCGGTCGATACCCGAAAATTGAACAGTCGGGGTGGCCGAAGGTTTTTTTGGACAAGGGAAGCGTTTTCAACATTAGGGCAGGCGTGTGTTATTTTGGTGTTTCGTGATGCATTATCATGGTGTCGCTGCGGTTTGGGAGAGGGTTGCCATAGGTGTTCGTAGGTTGCATTGATGGAGGGTTTCGCATTCTCATGCTGTCGTTGCAGTTTGAGGGAGGTTTTACAGCATCATGTTGTCGTTGCGTTATCATATTGTCGCACGCGTTCGCTGTGCATCATTATTTTGTCATTTTAGTTTGCATTATCATCGGCACGGCGAGGTCCGAAGGCTGGAGAGGGGGTATAGCGAAACGATCGTGTTTGCAGGGTTCCTTGTTCTTCGCGGGCGTTCGGGTTTCGTTCCCTTGGTGTGTGCAGGCTTCCACAGGAGTCATATTCCAGCGTCCGTGTCTTTCCTGTTTCGACGGCTCTTGTTATCATGTGCTGTGTTGTTCTTTGGCGCAGCGTTCGCCCGATCAACGAATATTGCTTTAAGACTGAAGACTCGGGGTGGTCGAGGACTCTTCGGGAAAGTAACTATGAGTTTTCAAAATTGGTTCAAGAGATTCCGAGACTGCGCGACTCGTGTTGAATAATGTTGGTGCCTTATTTATTAGTATGTTTCTTCTTCTTCTTCTTCTTTTGTGCTGCCATGGCTATCCGCTACACGAACACCTCGGGCTCGAGCGGCGGGCAAACGGTCACCCTAGAGACAGAAGGTCTTTTCCGTGAATGGATCGGAGGTCCGAGTTTGCAGCCGCCCATCGAGAGTGTGTGGAGTGGTGTCGCGGAGGAAACTATTGAATGGCTCCGTGATCTTTCCAAAGAGGATCGTCGCGACCTTCTTGCCGCGATGGTGGTCATTGGTAACTCCCCTCAAGGTTTGCTTGCGGTGGATGCTGGCGTGGGCACTTTTGTGGTCAGCAACGAGACGGACACCAGCGAGGAGCTCTCGGCAGATGACGCGGTGTTCGTGCTCAAGGCAGACCGCGTCCGTCACGCGAGATTGCTGATCACCGCGCTCGAAGACGTCTGTCCTGATTTCAAGGCGTCGGAGAAATCGCGCTTGGAGTCCAGGCCGGGAGATGTGGGCACTGGCACAGAGCGCAATTTGGCGAAGAATTGGACGGCTCGCGTGGGCACGACGGTTCTGCAATTAGGGCTTACTCGCTGTCCTTAAGCCAATGGCGCTGCAGCCGGCAAGCTCTTAAGGCTGTAAGCTGGGCAACTGTTGTTTTAGCCGCTACGGTATGGCGTAGATGACCAATGCCATCCATCCTCTCTAGGTTGCAGACGCTTCGTGCTCTTTACCGCTTGTGTGCTCACAGTTCTCAACGATGAAAACGATAGTAGAGACTACGAGTTTTCAAAATTACGGCAGGCGTCTGTTATTCAGGCGTCCACTTTGCATTTTCATGTAGTCGCCGCGCATTGGAAACAAGGAGGTTCGAAGGCTGGGTCGGGTCTAGGAGGGCGATTGCGTTTACAGGGGTCGTTGTTTTTTCGCGGGCGTTCGGGTTTCGCTTCGCGACGTTGGGAAGTTGTCAGCAGGAATTTCCTATGCCAGCGTCCGTTGGCCTCCTCGTTCGACGTCTGCTGTCGTCGTGTGGTGTGATGGGTTGTTCTCTGGCACAGCGTTCGCCCGATCAACAGTCGCTGCCTTGAAATTGCAATCCCCGGCTGGCCGAGAGCTCGCGGGAAAGGTTTTTTTTTTTGATCGGGGAGGACATTTTCTTGGCCGATGTTTTCTGGCGCTATCGCGCGCGCTGTTGGATGCGCGCCGCCCTAGACATGGAAATGGGTGGAGGGCGCGGGCGGGTTTATCCTGCTCTAGTTTTCGAATTTGGGACTGGTTCATCAGTTTCAGTTTCCACTTCCGCGGCCCCATCGCGTAGGATCCGCCTCTCGGGGTTCCTGGGGGGAACGCTGGGACCCCCAGTCATCCGGGGGCGACCAGCAGGTGAGTTGCCCTAGCTTCAAAAAGCTTGTTCGCGGCAGCGGCGCGGGGCAGGGCGCAGTTATTAGTTCCCAGGGCAAGGGCTCCAACCAAGTGGGGCGCTCCAGGATTGCCCCGCCTTCGAGCATCGAAGGAGTTGCCGTTGTTTCCGCTGCGGAAGGCCCGTCGATGGAAAATCCCATCGCGCCTGGGCGGGGCGGGGTGATCAGACCCCTCTCGGCGATAGGCGCGCGATCGCGGGTCGACGCGCCCCCCCCTGAGCTCGCAGTCGAAACTGAGGGCGAGGATGCGGGATAAGGGCGCGAGCCCCCGCGGGCGCTCACGTCGAGGCTCCTCGCGCGGGGCAGGTCATCAAGGTTGGCCGAGGGCGGACTGGCGAGGCGCGGCTGCAAGGGCACCTCGTGGGAAGAGTACCCATCCAAACCATCGGCTTCGTTTGCATCTCTCCCCGTCGTTGCCCTTGACCGGCGCCGACGCGCCTCGCGCCTGCTCCGCGCGCTGCGGCCGACCCCCCGTCGTGGCCGCCGTTCGCGTGCCGCCGCCCGCCCGCGGCCGCCGACGTTCGCTGTGCATTCTGCGCGCGTTGCTTGCAATCGTGCGAATGGGCTGTTCTTCGGCATTGCGTTCGCTGGGTCAACGGTCGCTGCCCTAAAATTGGAAACCCGCAGTGGTCGAGAGTTCTCGGGGCAAGCTGGGGGCTCAGAATAAGGGCGGGCGCGCGCGCTTCAAGTGTTTGTTTTGCATTCTCATGTAGTCGCTGTGCATCGGCAGAAGGAGGTCCGAAGGTTGGCGATGGGTCCAGAGAAGCGATTGCGTTTGCAGGGCCCGCTGTTCTTTCGCGGGCGCTCGGGTTTCGCTCCGCGGTGCGCGGAGGCTGCCAGCAGGGGTTTCCTATTCCAGCGTCCGTTTCCTCGTTCGGAAGCTCCAGCAATCGCGCGGCGCGTTGTAGCGCGCGCCCGATCAGCGGCTGTTGCCCTAGAGTTGAAAGCTCGGGGCGGCCGAGAGTTTTCAGGAAAAGGGGGGGGGGGTCAAACTTGGGGCAGGCGCGCGTTATTCAGGCGTTCGCTTTGCACGTTCACGATTTTCACGCAGTCGTCGTGCAGTGGGGGAGAGAGGTTCGAAGGCTGAACTGGATCTAGAGAAGCGATTGCGCTCTCAAGGCCCGTTTTCTTTTCGCCGGCGCCCGGTTTTCGCCCCGTGGTTTTCGAGGGGGTTCGGCGGGGCTTTCCCATTCCAGCGTCCGTGGGTCTCCTCATTTGACGGCTCCTGCTATCAAGTGATGGGTTATTATTTGGCGTAGCGCTCGCTGGATCAACGGCTGCCACCCCAAAATGGAAAATTCGGCGTGGTCGAGTTCTTGCAAAGAGGAGGGAGTTTTAAAACTTAGGGCAGGCGCGTGCTAGTCAGGTGTTCGTTTTACATTCTCATGTAGTCATTGTGCATCGGCAGAGGGAGGTTCGAAGGCTGAGGAGGGGGGTCTAGAGAAACGATTGCGTTTGCAGGGCTCGTTGTTTTTCGCGGGCGCCCGGTTTTCGTTCCGCGTTGGGCGGGGGGTCCAGCGGGAGTTTCTTAGTCCAGCGTCCGTGAGCAGCCTGGTTCGACGGCTTTAGCAACATGCGATGGGTTGTTTTGTGGCGCAGCGCTCGCTGGATCAACGGCTACTGTCCTACATGTGAAAACTTGGTGTTGCCGAAGACTCTTCGGGAAAGGGTTTCGGCCGAACCCCCATCGACGCCGCCGTTCGCTTGCCGCCGCCCGCCCGTGGCCGCCGCCGCTCGCTGTGCATTTCTGCGCGCGTGACTTGTACTCGTGCGATGTGTTGTCCTTCGGCGTGGCGTTCGCTTGATCAGCGGTTAGTGCCCTAACATTGAGAACTCTGGCTGGCCGAGAGTTCCTGTGAAAAGGGGGGGTCTCCAAAATTAGGACAGGCGTGTGTCATTCAGGCGTTCGCTTTGCATTTCCATGTGCTCGTTCTGTGTTGGAAGAGGGAGGTTCGAAGGCTGGGTCGGGTCTAGAGAAACGATTGCGTTTACAGGGCCCGTTGTTTTTTCACGGGCGTTCGGTCCGTGGTGTTTGAAGGCTTCGGGCAGGAGTTTCCAATTTCAGTATTCCTAGGTTTTCTCGTTCGAAGGCTCTCGTTTTCATGTGATGGGTTGTTTTTTGACGTGGCGGTCGCCCGATCAACAGTCGTTGCCCTAAAGTTGAAACTTCGGGGCGGCCGAGATTTCTTGGTCAAAGGGGAGTTTTCAAGATTGAAACAAGCGTGTGTTATCCAGGTAATCGCTATGCATTGTCACGTCGTCGTTGTTCATTGGAAGACGGGGTTCGAATGCTGGGCTGGGTCTAGAAACGCGATTGCGCCTACAGGGTCCTTTGTTTCTCACGGGCGTTCGGGTCTCGGAGGCGCTGATGAAGTCAATGTCTTTTTGGATGCGTTCGGTTATCCGTGGCGTTTGGTCTGGGGCTTTCCAACAGGAGTTTCCTGTTCCAGCGTTTGTGAAATTTCTCCGCCCGTCCGAAATAATTTCCTCGTTCGATCAAACAGCACATCCCTGCCCGCCTGAAAGAATTTTCTCGTTCGGTCTGGAGAATGTCCTGGTCTTCCGGGGAAAATGTTCTCGTTCGCCCGCCGATGTTTTTCCTCGTTCGACCGGACAAAAATCCGCTTGACCGCCGACAGCCGGGCGGAGGCGGCGAGGAGGAGATCGACGGACGACGGCGATGGCGACCATCGGCGACGACGGCGACGATGGCGCTGACGGACGCTAGCGGACGGAGGCGACGACGGCGGGCGACGGTGCAGACGGTGGCCGCGGATGAGGAAAAGGCGGCGAGGACCTCATGCTCTTCCTTCTCGTTTGCCTCTCCTCACTGCTTCCTTCTCTCGCTCCTCCTCCGCCTCCTCATCCCCCCCCTCCCCGTAGCATATGGAAAATGAGAGGGAGAGAGAGAGAGAGAGGAGATATGAATAAGAAACCTCTTGATCGACTCCAGAGTGAGAGTGTCCATGGCGATATTGGGGTGACATCCTTCTAGTCTTCCTCCTCCTCCTCCTCCTCCTCCAGTTCGTTATCCTCGCCGCTCGTCCTCAATTCTGCAATTGCCTTCTGTCCATTCCGCCATTGTGCCTGGGCCACGGGCCACGGGCACAAGATTCTTCTGCAAGGCCTCTCGGGGTGTGCTGGGGCCCGCTGGCCGCTGACCCCCCTCAGGCGAGCGGTGCTCGACTCCTCCTCGGACTCCGAATCGCGCGTCCGTCGGCGCGCCGAGAAGGAGGAGAGGGCCGCTGGGGTCAGGGCCAGAGGCGACGATAAGGGCGAATAGCCCAGGGGGGAGCAATACAACTATCCACTTGGCATCGCTCGGACGTGTGCATTTTTCCTCGGCGAGAACCATCGAGGACCATCCCGGACCATCGAGCAAAAAAAACCACGCACGAAACCGAAAAATGCACGGGAAATGGACGTCCGAGCGACGGCAAGGTCCAGGGGCGCCGATGATCTATGCCTTCGGCGAGGCTCCCGGGCGAATACGTGTAATGCCCGCCCCTGGGCTATTCGCCCTTATCGTCGCCGCCGACAGAGGGTCGGGGGCGCGAGAGGGGGGGATCGGCCGACGGGGAGAGGAGCATCGACCGCCAGGGCTGGACCTAAACGCCGTTTCGCTGGACTTCGGCTGTGCCTTGTTTGTCGTTTTGGGAGGAAGGTACAGGAAAACAGGTAGAGCAGAACGAAAAGCAGAACGAAACACACATCGAAAAGCAGCGTTTATGTCCAGCCCTGTCGACCGCCCCTGCCCATGAGCCTCTCCTTTGGGGGATCGGGTGCGTAGCGGTTTTGCCATCGGGGGCACGTGGTCGATCTCCTGACGGCGTATCGCCCATTCCGGGCCGGCGGTTTCCCCAGGGCCAGTTCCCGCTCGTGCTTCCCTTCGGCCAGGCTATAGCCAGACTGGCGCCAGCACCATGGCAGTTCCATCAGGGGGATCAAGTCCAATGGGACTTGGCAGAAGTTGCCAGAAGCTCTCTGGGTGGGTCGCAGCGGGGACCTTAAGTATGACGCACAAGTTTGGTGGCAGTGTTCGAATATGGTTGTAACATCATATGCACCATGTTCCCGAGCGTGCGTAAATATTGACATACAGAGAATAGTCGGGACGGGACTGAGGAAGGAGGCATCGACCTCAAGAGGGGCATCGCTCGACCTCATGCTGCAGCATCACATGTGTTTGCAAGTGTATTCAGTGTCGAACAGACGATATGCCACGGAGCTGGCCATCTTTATTACCTGGGTGTCAACCTCAAAGCTTCGTGCGGCACGGCGGAAGCAAACCGAGCGGGAGCGAATGAGTGATGCGTCTGCAGTTCCCAAATAGACAGGTTGGGATGGATGTGAGGGAGAGAGAGAGAGAGAGAGAGAAAAAAAAACAAAAAAAAAACAACAACAACAAAGCAATACACCAACATCACAAAGGGCGCGAACCACATATATACATATATGTATACACATATAATAATAATATGGAGAGAGAGCTTGCGCATGGGAATGTATGTACGTATATTGCTCTGGCGTGCCTGGTGTTCTCTGCGAGTCAGGATGAGAGGGCGCCGTTGCGACCGTTGTTGCATCAATGCTCAAGCTTTTGTGGCGTTCAGATGCCTGGACTCCGCAACGGATTCTGGCTTGTGGGCGCTGTCACTCAGCTCTTCACAGCATATTGGTGGCGGACACAGCCTTGTCCTGCGTGCCCTGGGTGCCCGCCGTGCCCGACTCTACACTGCCCCAGCTGCCCGCTTCTGCAGTGTCCAACGGGCGTGAGTTCCTTGCAGGCCGGCGGGAACGCCGGCGGAGGTCCGAGCTCGACACCTCCTGAGCCGCCACCTGTGGTGGAGAAAGCTGACGACCCTGGGCCTCCTGGCGTCGCTGCTCCAAGTGAGGATCCCGCGGCAGGATCGACCGAGAGCTCTTCGGGGTCAAGCGGCTGGCTGGGGGAGTTCGTGGCCCTGTGGCTCCACGCGCTGATCGCTTTGGGACAGGCCGCAGTGGTCCTGGGATACTCTTGCCTGAGGAACGTGTGCTCGTGTCGACTACGAGTCCGACAGCCTCCTGCCGCCATAGGCTATGGTCGCCCCGCCGGCGGACGTCCGCCCGTGGGCGTGGGTGCTGTACGCCGGCGAGCGGCGATGGCATCAGCGTCGGATCTGGGGGCAAGTAGAGGATCCGCCAACTGGGCCTCAGACTCGTCTGCTGTTGATCAGCAGCACACCTGATCACGATGTCTACGAAGAAGATTATAGCAGGGACAGCGCTGACATCCTGGGCGTTCGGTTTGTGGACACTCGTCGTGACCGCGGGGGCCTGGACGCAGGGCTGCTATACGGGTTCAGGCGACGCTTGACGGTGAATGAGGAGACCGCGATCATGGCGGCGGTGATCCAGGTGGCCGACGAAACGTACCTGGCTCGGGAGACCGCTGGGGGCCGCGCTGCTGTGTTGCCTGCGGGAGGAGCGCTGCGGGCTTTCGACTTCGGGCTGCGTGGCGAGGGAGCTGGGCAGCAGCTGGTCGGAGCCGACGGTGGCGCTGCTGGAGGCAACGCTGAAGGCGCGGCCGCCCTGGTGGGCGTGGGGCCCGCGCGGGGACCTGGTCTCGGGGTCGCTGCTGGTGGTGCAGCCGCTGCTCAACCTGTGGGTGCTGGAGCGCCTGGGCAGGCAGCGGCGGCCCCTGTGGCGGTCGGGGGCCCTGGTCCTTTCGCTGCTCCTGCTGCTCCGGAGTGGGTGATGACGGAGACGACGGCCGCGGGAGACCGCGGGACGGTTGTGGCCTTGAATGGGGCGGAGCGTCTCGGAGGCGACGTCGGGATCATGAGGACCGACAAAGGCTGGATTGGCATCCGGCGGGTGTCGCTCAACCTGTCGCTCTATGCTGGCGCTGAGGCTAGACTGGACGCCCGGCTCCTGGGGATCTCGGTGCAGTCAGATGGCCATCGTCCTCGGATTCAGTTTCGAGACGCTGTCGCCAAGTTCGAGCAGACTCCACTCCCAGGCTGGCCCCTGGAGGGCCCCCGCTCGGCAGCGCGGTGCTTCGTCTTCATCGACAGACGCCGCGGGGGCCCGCTGGAGCATTTCACGCAGTTCAAGAGTCAGTACCACTTGACGAACGATGACTACGGGGTGGCCCACTACGAGAGCATCATGAGGATGATCGAATTCTTGGCCTGCTGGGATCAGGTGAATCTCCCCGACCTCGTTGGCGTCGAGGTGGCTATGCGACAGGCACAGCTGTACGAATACGCGCACGCAATGGAGGCGGAGGGCTCACTACATGCGGCCCCACTGGCCTCGGAGGACAAGAACAAGAAGGGACGCGGCCGCGGCCGTGGCTTCGCCAAGTTCGCGTTCCTAGACGAGGCCTCCGCCTTCACGGGGACATCGAAGGAGGACGGGAGGATGATGGTGTGTCCTGACCTCCTTCACCACGTGTCCGCCATGGTCGAGAGGGACGCGGGCATCCTCAAGTCGCTGCGTAAAGCGCGTGAGGAGCGCCGCGCCCTCTCGGGGCAATGAGAGTGACCTCGGACGGGATGCCCCTCGCCCCGCCCGAGATGCATCAGAGGGCGGCTCCAGTTTCCCCGCCTGGAGTCAGTGATGTACGTGGGGGCCGCTATTCTTCTCGCCGGGATGGCCGCCAGCGCGATGTCTTCCCGATTTCTCTTCGCCCTGATCCTGTTTCTTCCTCCATCGAGCATCAGAGCACGAATGCCCTTTCTCGGACAGCAGCTCGGCGGGTACACCGCCGCCATCATAGGCTTGACATGGTGAATGAGATAGTCGTGACTCTCAACGACATGTACCTAGGTGGTAGTGGACATGACGACCTTCCGCGTCGTGCCGCTGGAGATCCGCTGCTTGCTGCCCATGTCGAGGTACACCGGGAGCTGGAAGATGCGGTTCGACGCTTCGGAGAGCCTCCGCTGGATCTCGACGGCCCAGGAGCCCTTGCGGAGCTTCGGGTGTCCCAGGCGCACCACGGGGAGGCCGTGGCCATCGCCCCGGTTGGCTTCGACAACGTCGACCGCATTTCCCTGCCTGCCGCTACGACCTCTCCGCAGACGTTAGAGCACTTGGCTGGGGATGTGGGCCGGAAGATCGCTGACCGTTTACAAGATTTGTTGTTACCCCGAGAACAGGGGTTGGACCGTATCCATACTGAGGGACCGCGTCGGCTATACGTTGATCCCAACCTTCGTAACCCTAAGTTGTATCAGCGGGTGCTTCAGCGGCTGGTGGACTCTAACTTGGTGAGTTTCCAGCTGGACTGCGAGTGCTCGGTCGGGCTCTTTTTCGTTCACAAGAAAAATGGCGATCTACGGATGATCCTAGATGGCCGCTACTCGTCATTGCGCTTCGCCGAGGCCGACAAGGTTGAGTTGGCCTCCGGCGGAGCTTTCAGCCAGATCGCCGTAGACGGGGATGACCCCATCGCCGTGGCCGGCGTGGACATCGCCGATGCCTTCTACAACATCCTGTTGCCTCCATGGCTGCAAAAATACTTCGGCCTCCCGCCCGTCAGAGCAGGCGACTTCAATCTCTCTCATGTTGGCGAGGGTATTCCTGTGCTTCCCTCGCAAAAGGTGGTCCCATGCTTTCGTTGCCCGCCCATGGGTTGGAGCGTGAGTCTTTGGATCTGTCAGACCTTGAATGAGCACATCAGCTCCCTTGTCCCAGACATCAGTACACATAACCTCCTTGTTGATCGCAGGCCAGCCCCGAGTTTGAGCAACGATTTCATACACACTGAGTACGTTGACAACTTCGTCTCATTGTCACGGTCTGTGGAGCGTGCAGGCGACATCGCCAGGGCCGTGGGCCGCGAACTGAATCGAGTCGGGTTGCCTACGCACGAGGTCGAGGAGGGGGTAGGTGGTCAGACTTTGGGCTGGGAGTTTGGCTCGAATGATGCGGTCATCGGGTTGAATCCTCGTCTACGCTGGAGGTTACGTCTTGGCATCCAGGAGATCTTGAGGCAGGACCGCTGTACTGGGGACACGCTCCGGAGGGTCATATCGCACTATACCTCTCGGGGCCTCATCAGGCGGGAGCTTCTGAGCGCTCTGAGTGCCGTGTACTCGTTCATCCGCGTAGCAGGTCATAGGTCTTTACGCCTCTGGGGATCCGTTCGACGTGAGCTACGGTGGTGTAAGTCCTTGTTGGTCCTATGCTTTAGAAACGCAGGCAGGCCTCTCTCAAAGGTGGTTTCTTGTGTTGATGCCTCATGGTGGGGGGTTGGAATCACTGAGAAGGATTTCACACACGATCAGGTCGTCGAGTTGTCGTCCTTCAACGAGCGATGGAGGTTTGGGCGAGACAACGAGAAGTCGATGCCTCCCCGAGCCTTCGACATCGGCATGTGGGAGGATGAGACCGAGGAGACCAAGACGAGTGCGGGGTTCGGCGAGCCCCACCATGTCCTGAAGGCCTCGCACGGCCTGTTGTTCGAGGAGCCCATCAAGGTCTTCCCGAAGCCTCCGGAGGCCAAGTTCAGGAGCGTCTCGAAGGAGGTCTGGGGTGGTGTCTGGAAGCGTGTCCTTTCGAAGCCTTGGGAGCGCGAGGAGCCCCAGGTCATCTTGGAAGGCAGGGCTCTGGTCAGCTGTCTAAAGCATCTTCTTCGGAGCTCTCGGAATTTCAGACACACTCATGTCATCCTAAATGACTCTATGGCCCCGTTGCTGGTTTTGCTCAAGGGTCGGTCCTCATCGGCGCCACTTCAGCGAGTGCGCCGTCAGGTGGCAGCGTTGGCTCTGTGCAGTGGCTGTGGCGTTGTCTGGCGCTGGGTACCTTCCGAGCACAACAGTGCTGACGCAGCCTCGCGTAATCGACCTGGCCTTACGGCTGAGGCGGATCGCGCAGCCGCTGGAGATGCCAGGCGCAGCAGCCCTTGTTCAGGTGGGGGGCGGCTTGCCGAGAGGTCGGGGCGGACCAGGGACCAGCTTGGCCGCGGCCTCGACTCGCCGCCGCCCGGCCTCAGCCTCGGCGACGAGCCTCGGTGTGCGAGCTCGCGTGGAAAGCGACCGCCGAGCCGCCAGGCGCTTGCAGCGCCGCCAGGGCTACAGGCGGGACATCGTCCCGATGCCCGGAGCGGGTCACTCGTTTCTGGAGCAGGAGTCGGTGTCTGCCGCCACCCGCCGGGACTACCAGAGGAGAGCTCACGACTTTTACCTCTGGGCGGAGCACTCGCGCTTGGTGACGGTGACCGAGGAGCAACTGGACGAGACCCTGGTGATCTACTTCCACGAGCAGTTCTTGGAGGGGGGCGAGAGCACGGACGCGTGGAAGCTGTTTGCGTCGCTGGCCTTCGAGGGCCGCCACCTGGGCTTGAAGTGCAGCAGTCTGCCGCGTGCGACCCGAGCTGCGCGAGGATGGCGCAAGCTGGCTCCACCTCGGTCGAGGCTCCCGCTGCCGTGGGCTGCCTGCTGCCTTGTCATCCGCCAGCTCATCCAGGCCGGACATCGAGTGCTTGCGGAGCTCACGGCCGTGGCCTTCGCCCTGTACCTGAGGCCTTCGGAAGCGCTCTCCCTGACTACCAACAGCCTGGTGCCCCCGTCGGTGCTTCATGGAGGCCCGCGCGGGACCTGGAGCGCGACGCTTCATCCAAGGGAAGCCGGGGTGTCCAGCAAGACGGGGGTGTACGACGACTCGCTGCTGGTAGACAGCCCCGCCTTTCCTTGGCTGCCCGGTCTTTTCCAAAAGCTGCTGCGCGAGCGCCCCAAGAACAGCCCTCTCTTCCCCGTAACGCACAGCGAGTGGAACGCCAAGTTCGCCGCCGCAGCCAGGGACAGTGGTCTTCAGCCGTTGCTGCCACTGACCCTTCACCAGCTCAGGCACGGAGGAGCGAGCCACGAGCTGCTGGTCCGGGCCCACACCCAGGACGAGGTGAAAAAGAGAGGTCGTTGGGCCACAGATCAGGCCGTGAGGCGGTACGCCAAAGGAGGACGGATTCAAGAACAGTTGAACATGCTCCCACACCACATTCAAGGCACCGCGAAGCGAAGCCTCGATACGATTGGCGCCGTCCTCTGCGCGACCTAGCTCGTTTTGTGAACGAATCTGGGCAGCAAGTCATGTTAGAAGTCTTCAGTGGGAGCGGCAACCTTTTTCGGTCGCTTCGGTTAGTCCTGAGGGGGGCCGCCTGCTTCGAGCTCGACATTGTTCATGACGCCGCTGCCGATGTTTTGTTTGGTAAAATTCAGAAGCTGATCAGGGGTTGGGTACGCAGCAGGATGCTCCTAGGGGTGTGGATAGCTACTCCGTGCCAATCAATGTCGCGGGCTCGTAATCGGCCGAATGGACCCCCGCCGCTTCGAGACGCTCAGCACCCCCTCGGACTCCCGCACCTGAATCCCGCCGACAGTCTGAAGGTTGCCCGTGGTAATCGTCTAGCCCGCTTCAGCTTTAGCCCCTTTTCCCTGTGCAGATCCCTTAGAGTCCCTGTAGTTATCGAGAATCCTTCAACCTCCTGGCTTTGGAGTCTCCCAGGGGCCCAAGCGCTTGCCCGTTCCAGTAACGTTCTCGATCTTGATGTCGATTTTTGCGCTTTCGGAACCCCGTGGCGTAAACGAACTCGCCTTCGATTTTGTCATCTCGACCTTGCCGGGCTCAAAGGGGCCCGATGTCGAGGCCGCGGCGTTTGCAGTTTTACAAAGTGCCCACACAGGGTGCTTGAAGGAAAAGACAGTTCCGGGCGATTTCTTACCCACATCGCCGAACCATATCCCAGAGGGCTCTGTGTAGAGCTTAGTAGAGCCTACAAGCAAGCGTTGCGAAATAAAGCTTTCTGTGCTTTAACTAGATATGTGGCCTGACGGCCAGTGTGAGAGTTTCGCAAAGTGTCAGCGTTTGCGCTCTAGTTCGGAGTTGTGATTGCCTCGCGGTGAATACCCGTGCGAGGCTATGGCATCTAGATGCGAGCGGCTCTGGGCCGCAATCACACAGATTATCAGCATGGTCTGTCTGTAGCAAAAGTGCTGTGAATCTGCAAGGCTGGCGCCCAGGAATCCGCCAAGCATAGATTGCTCTGGCGTGCCTGGTGTTCTCTGCGAGTCAGGATGAGAGGGCGCCGTTGCGACCGTTGTTGCATCAATGCTCAAGCTTCCCTCCCTCGGTTCCCTTCGTCCCACCCTACTGTTAGAGCCTTTCTACACTTGCACTGGAGTTGTGATTGCCTCGCGGTGAATACCCGTGCGAGGCTATGGCATCTAGATGCGAGCGGCTCTGGGCCGCAATCGCACAGATTATCAGCATGGTCTGTCTGTAGCAAAAGTGCTGTGAATCTGCAAGGCTGGCGCCCAGGAGTCCGCCAAGCATAGATGTATGTATGCGCGTATATGTATGTATGTACGTATATGTATGATTGTACGTATGTATGTGTATGTATGCATGTATGTATGTATGTATGTATGTATGTTTGTATGTATGCATGTTTGTATGTATGTGTCTATGTATGTATGGATGGATGGACGTATGTATGTATGTATGTATGCATGTATGTATGTGTGTGTATGTATGCATGTATGCATGCATGCATGTATATATGCATATATGCATGCATGTATGTATGTGTGTGCTTATATACATACACACATATATTTTATATTTATACATATATATAACTGTATATGTATATGTATGTATATACATATATATATATATATATATATATGTCCCCGTGCACGAGGCCTGGAGGCCTGGTCCCCCGGCGCCCGGGGCCCGAGCGCGCATGGGAGGACCAGGGTTTCCCAGACCGCTCCCAGGGGCCTATTGGGAGGCTTTTGTTAGACAGGTGGGCGCGCCAGCCTAGTTTCTAGAGCACGTAACCTTGCAGGAGCACAGGCGCTCAAGAGCCCGACCTAGCCGGCGATCCGTTGCACACGGACGTTCTCTATTTCAGTTTTCCATGTCGCTGAGAGCACGTGCTGGTCCCACGCTCGCAGTCGGGCCGGCGCCAGTCTGCCGCGGCAGCGCGAAGGAGGGGGCTGCTCTCTGGGTGCAGGGTCGACCGTCGCGCTGCTCTCCCGCAGGCCCTCGCTCGTTCAGGACGTGTCCGAGGGCTGCCGAGAGAGCTGGAGGCGTGTACGTTGTATTGCAGGCACGCGAGCTCGAGGCGAGGATCCTCGATCCAAGATCGAGGATCGAGATCGAGGGTCCTCGATCTCGATATCGAAGCTCGAGGATCGAGAGGATCGAGGATCAATGATCGAGGATCCTCGGGCGCCTTCGAGGGCATAGAGATCGAGGATCCTTGATCTCGATCCCGGATCCTCGGTTCCTGCGGCGGCGCGGGCTCTCGGCGCGGGCGGCGCGCGGGGGCGCGGCCCGCCTTCGCCTCTCCGCGAGGAGGCGCAGCGCAAGAGCCTGGAGGCGCGCGAGATGGAGGACTCGGCGGCGCGCGTCGAGGCAGAGGCGCGCGGCGTCGCCCGTCGCCTCCCCCGTCGGCTTCCCGTGCCCTCCGCTGCCGCACGCCGCAGGGGACCGAGCTCACGGGCTTCGGGCTCGCCTCGTCGGGCCGCGCGCCTCGACGAGAGAGGCCGAGGCGCGCGGCGCCGGCGCGGGTCGGGCTCGATGGCTTCACCCGGAGGCCACCGTCCACGCGGCGCGGGGTGCGGCGCGAGTGTGGAGGTGCTGTTCGGTGGCCCGAGGCCCGG